ATTGCTTAGCATTGCTAAGCTAAAACACCCTAAAGTCCACGGGTTGGTCAGTCTTGAGCCTGAGCTTAGCATGCTTCGTCTCGGCTAGCTGCCTCTTCACCTGTTCCCGTTCTAGTTGTCTCATCACATCATTCTGTCTCAAGCACTCCTCGAACGAATCCCTGTCCTTGCAGTGGAATAAGGCTACCCATCGCGTCTGCTCCCTGGGGTCTTTCAACACCGAGTTGAACTTTTGCGTTAGCACCCAGACGCTGTGCTTTGCGTGCCGGCCGGAGAAGGCCAGGTACGATAGCATGTCTCTCTTTTTTGTTATCTCCTTGTTAGCGCTGCAGTCGTCCAGGATGAACAGTGTCGACTCCCCTTTAAATTTCCGTGATAAGCCTTCAACCAGTCCTGCAGACGTGTTCCTGGGTCGACTCTGTGTACGTCCGGGTCCGTCATCACCCAAGGTCTTTCCGTGTACGTTCTATTCATGTGCAAAGTAGGGCACATAATAACGATGTTATCAAACACATCCCGGTAGTACCCCTCCAGCATATCCAGCACGACAACGGTCTTCCCACAGCCCGTCTGCCCGCACACTATGGCGCAGTGCGGGTCGCGGGGTAGATCAATAGATGGCTTGCACGAATCTCCCATTGTCTATATTAAGTTGCGCGTCCATAATCACGTACAGATATAATTTCAACTTGCCCGCGGGTTGAGCCTTCTTCTAATCTGGACGGTTATCCCCTCGCTGCCATTGTCAATGCGGCGACCGCTGCCGTGCAATTGATCATCGTCCGTGGATCGCATGTCCAACCATAGCGCGTACTTGGTGGTCAGGTATTCCCCGATCTGCACGGAGGATAGGTCCAGGTCTTTGGTTATGTGTGGGTGTTGTTTGATAGCCGGTAGCTTTTTTATCTCATCCCACTGCTGGTATGCCCTCATACCATGGCTGAACAGCTGGTTGGGCGCGCCCTCGATGGTCACTTCCACCTTTTCAATCTCGGGGTTGAAAAACTTCTCGCTGTCCCTTCGGAGCGCTCTTATCCCGTACTATCGTTCTATGCCGCAGGACCCGGTCGTACAGGATGGCAACCTTCCCCGAGTACTGGTTTCGAACCTGCCTGGCCAGCTCTGGGCTAGTGACAATGTCGAACTCCAGAGAGATGTTGTGGATGGCGTAACTCGCCTCATCACCGTTCGGCGTACGCACGACTTTGCTGTAGTCGTTAAACGTGAGCTCGTATTCCAACCAATCCCCCAATGCAGCCTGGTAAAACGGCGCGTGTCCCGTGAGCAACTCGAAGTCGAGCGGCACGCAGAACTGGCTCCCGTATGCTTGGGCGATGGCCTTTTCACCCGCTGAGATCTTGTCTAGCTGGTCTGCGGTGAAGCCGTACCCCACGCGCAGCCGAGTCGATTTGCTGATACCTTGGTACACATCATTGACGCGTTCTCCCTCGCTTTTCCAGAGGTAACCGTAGCAGTGAAACACGTTGCTGTCGTCAATGCTCAGCGCCTCTTTGCCGCTGATCTTGATGGTGGTTTTCTTGATGATGGCTCGACCTACGTTCCGCACGAGCTCGCGTTTGTCGTTGGCGGAGGTCAACGTGAGGTTGAACGTCAGTCGAACCGTGCCTGATATGATGAGGTCATTCTCGCCAAGGTTGGGGAATCTAACCAGCAGCGTTTGGTTCTGGTCTATCTTGCTGGGATTGTTGGTGATGGTCACCGACTGGCGCACGGCTCTGACGCCTAGAGGCTCTCTTGATCTTCGGAAAGGATCTAGTTTCCTACCGTACATTGTTATATACATAAAATATAAAGTTTAATATAATTAATGGCTGAAAGTGGTCATGAGGACATCCAGATGGATGATATGGGGAATGATAGTACCCAGACGTTCGGGGAGGAGGAAACTTCATTCACGGGCAACCCCTTGGGCGCTGAACTTGTACAGTCGACCGTCGACGATTATTACAACGCATTTGAGAAGAGAGACAACATCAAGCCGTTGGTACGAGACTATACCAAGTTTACCCTCGATAAGAAGGGCACGCTGCGATTGAGGGCTCACCGGGGTCGACATCATGAAAAAAGACGTGAAAGGACCGTATGCTTTGTCAACACTCACCAATCGCCCTGGTGGTAGGCAACTGATCCGTGATGAACTAGGCTTCACAGATTACGGTGGCGCACGGCCTAAGCTTTCCCTGAAGGTCATCGAAGATCTGCAAAACATCAGGGCCGAACTCAGCGGTGAAGGTGATATGCCCCAACGTGCTAAAGAAACATCAGACAGTATCGAAAAAATATTGGCCACGTACCATGACAAACCCTTGCCTGGTTTTGAATTTCCCCTGATGGAACTGTACGGCCTAGACGAAGCCTTGAAACATGTACACGGAGAACTCGTGAACAACATGGGGAAACTGAACGAACTTGACGAGCACATCGCTCGCAAGAAAGTAAAACTCAGTCAGGTACAAGACGACGAGTCTCTGAAAACCATCATCGAAAAACGGTTGCGTGACTTGCAAGACGAGAGGCGGACTCGATTGGAATCCGCTTCCTCGAACCGGGAACAGCTTCGATCTCAGATCAACCGCGTGAGGGAAACCATCGATCGAGTCCTGAATGAGGACACAACGTTGGCTGACAAGGATCCGAATCCTCTTCTGAGAGCAAGGGATCACCATTGCCAGCGTTCTTACAGCACTAGCTTCATCATATCAACCCTGGTCGTATCGCTGAGTGGGGGTAACCCACACCCCCAACTCCAACACCAAGCCCATCAGGCGATGTCAGAGACTGGGTAAAAAAACATCTGAAATCACTCGGCCAAGCCCTGGCTAAACTCGCGGGTAAGGCCGCCGAAGCCCTGCCCGGCATCCTGGGTAGCATCGTCTCGTGGTTGCTGAGTGCGCTGGCTAAAACTGCCACGTGGCTCGGACAAAACCTGTGGGCAGCCATCGTCACCGTGGCTGGGTTGGTGTACGTAGCGGCTAAGGAATTTTTAACCAAATGACACCCAAACCGACCGCGATCCCCCCGACCACCAGCCCTGTTTTACGGCTGATATGCTGTTGATTTTCAACCACCCGGTGTGGTGGCAGGGGCTGTGGTGGTGTGGGTTGAACCCTGGGCTTCGGGGGTGACACCACTATACCCGTTTCACCCGTGGGATGTGGGACGTGACTCACGTTGATGCCTGCATTGACACCCAACTTCTGGTCGGCCGTGGCTTTGACTATTTTGTTGTTGTAGCCCACCACTTTTTTGACTCTCAGTTGCGTATCGCTAGGAGCCATGTACAATCCCACGTCGAACACGTAGTCGACTTTTGACTGGGCGTATTCCAATACGTTTTGGTAGCGTTGGATGGCACTCGGCAGGTCGACCGAGGCGGCGATAGCATCCTCAACGTTGGCAACGAACTGTTTCTGCGCGTCGTAAGCAGTCCCCTTACCCTTACTTAATGTGATTTTCTCAGATGAAAGTTATGTGTGGCTGTTTCCTAATACACTGAAATGGGGAAACAAACTGAAAAACCTTTGTATCAGCGCCCAAAGTACAGTCCGAAATTTAACCTGTGAGGTGGCATATCTGTGTTAGGGGCAACGCCCCTCTGTGTATTTGAAGGGAATATGAACAGTGAGCGGTACAGATATTCTCGAGGGACATTTACTTTCATCTGCTCACGTGTTCTATGGATTTTTTTTGATTTTCCAGCAGGACAACGACCCAAAACATCTTTCAAAGTATTCACAGGCCTGGTTTCGGACCCAAAATATGACATTATTAGATTGGCCAAGCTATAGCCCTGACCTAAATCCAATAGAAAATGTTTGTGGACTTATGAAGGAAAGTGTCAATAAGAAAAATCTGACAAATATTGCTGAAATGAAAGAAGAGGTGGTCCGATATTGGGGCAGCATGGACCACGACTTTCTAACTTCTTTGATCAGTAGTATGCCCTGCCGCATTGAAGCCTGCATTGCTGCCTGCATTGCTGCCCATGGTGACTTGACAAAATACTAACTGTTCACCTGTCTTTGAATCTGGAGTTATGTTCTGCTAATATTCACATTTAATACGTGAGTAATGAGTGAAAATTGTTTTTAAAATTACAATCTTAAATTCTCAATAATTTCTTGTTGTACTGTAATTGAGAGTCCAATGTGTAACTGTGGCTACCACACTGAAGACAATCTACATTATTTCTTTGTCTGCTCCGATTATGACTTGATCAGACAAGATTTGTATTACTTTGTCAAAGGTATTGATATAAAATCTGTTCTGTGCAGTAATTCCAGCTCAAACTTAAAAACGAATATGGAAATGTTGAAATCAGTGCACAGCTTCATACTTTTATCAGGTAGATTTCCTGCTTTTGTACTTAATACTAAGATATGAAACTCCATAATTTTGCAAAGATGGAAAGATATGAAACATAATTACATAATGTTGACATATACCTTAATTTAACTTCAGTGGGTTCCGAGAATACTTGTACCCATTTAGACACTACTTACTGACCAAAATAAGCAGTCTGTATCTACAGGTTACACTTCCATTAAACTTTTTTTCTGGTGGTAAGTAAACGACATCGCATCACTTTGCGTGAACGAACAAGAAAAAACGACTTTGTCAGTGAAGATATCAAAATTTGCAATGAAAACATCACTAGACAAGATTATGTACCTTTTCATTTCTAATTTGTTTTTGATAGGCATTGTATGATATGCAGGGATTAAGATTACCGTGTGTATTTGAGTCATATACAGAGCCAGAAATAGACAATCAGCTGTGAACACGTTTCCCTGCGATCTACCAGTGATTTAGTTAAAAACATACTCAATAATACAACAAGATAATGACCTTCAACAAGGCGACACGCGCAGAGCCTGGCAAGGAATACAAACTATGATTGGAGGCACTACACGTCACCAAACATTCAATGTTACTGACGAAGCATCACATGCAGAAGATCTCAACTCCTTTTACACCAGATTCAGTGATACCAACTACACATCAAAATGGAGGACATCACTAACTCGATCACTGTGGACAACAAAGATTAGCTTACAATAACTACAGACGAGGTGAGATGTATATTTAACAGATAAACACCCAGAGGTCAGTGGGACCAAACAACATATCTGATATAAAGTACTGAAGGAATGCTGCTCAAACTCTTGTATGTTTTCAGTAAATATTTGAAAAATCATATAACTCTAAAATTATTCCACATTATTCTCCTGTGTGATGTTAAAGATGACCTTGATCCACTACAGTTTGCATACATGTTAATCCTCATATTTCTCTCTAAGGGAACTAAGAATTTGAATGCAGCTAACGTTGAGATGGACGTGTGCAATATCGTGACATTGCAGGTGAATGCAACATCCAATCACAATGAAGTTCCACATGCATGAACAACACGTATTGATGCACGTGCACGCAGAAGCTAAACTGTGTCCACCTATTGGAGAACTCACAATCACTAATGCAACTGAGGTAACACATGCTGAAAAATGCCTCCGAGGCAGTATTTCAATGAACAGACAAAATGAAGAATTGCGGGGAATGATAGAGGGGGGAACACCACTGTGTTAAGTTGCCCGAATGTTGGGTGAATCAAAAAGTGTAATTTCATGCCTGTGGGACAAGTACCGTCAAACGGGTGGGGTGGCAATGAGACCTGGGCGTGGAATGCCCAAATCAATGCCAGGATTGTCTCATTACATTAATGGCCCTACGCAATAGGTTCAAATCAGCACCTGCTATCAATAGGGAATTCCGTACAATAACCGGACAACAAATTTCAGTCTCAACTAGTAACAACCGACTCTATCAAGCCTGTCTGAAAGCAAGGCGGCCTGTGAAGGGTGCACGTGTCACCCTCACAGCTCACCATAGGCACCAAAGATTAGTGTGGGCTAGGCAGCATCACCATTGGTGTTACATTATGTTCTCGGACGAGTCAAGGTTTGCCTCCGATTCATTGATGGCAGGAAACGTTGTTGGTGCCGTAGCAGTGAGCGGTATGGCAGAGCGGCAATTATTGACCATGATCGGTAAGGGGGCGATAGTGTCATGGTGAGGGGTGGTATTACACATGACAGGCAATTGGATCTGGTCATCGTTAATGGACACTTGACTGGTCAGCGATTTGTTGATGAAATTTTGCTCCACTAGCTAAAATTATTGGCAGGAATTTTGAATTCCAAGATGATAATGCCAGACCACATCTTGCCCAGCTCATCACTGCTTATCTCAAATGAGAGGGTATACAGACATTGGACTGGTTCCAAGACATGCCCACAATTGAGCATCTGTGGGACGTTCTCGGCTGAAGGGTGTACACCAGGACCCCACACCCATCAACCTGGCCCAGCTTGGGGTAGCTCTTTAGGCAGAATGGTGGGCAATAACCACGGGCAACCATCCAGAGGTTTATCAACAGTTGCCATCAAGGTGTTGTGAATGTGTCACACAACATGGTGGACACACTAGATATTGAACTTCACGTCTGAAATTGATTTTGTGGACATTTAGAGCAATTACACATTCACTGTCATTTCATCAGTTCCCTTATTTTTTATTCAGAAGTATACGAAGAAAACAAAGGAAATGATTATAGACTTTAGAAACCTACATATAGAGCTGTTCTGATTGATAATTGCAGCATTGAATAATATATTATCTAATTGTATTCAGGAACATCATAGTTTTTCTTCATCCAGCCAAGACAGATTGATTGCATTTAATTGAGTTGCTATTTCATGGATAGATCATAGAGTGCATTCAACTGGAAGAATGCATTGCTTGCTATGTGATTGCTGGATTTGTACAAACATTTCAGGCTACTGTGGAGGTATTGAGGAATGCAACAGCCGTTGATCCAACGTTTCTTTGCCAATGTTGGGTCAACATTGAACCAACGATGTTTAGCCAACATTTACCCAACCTCATCCCGATGGTCAAAAAGATGTTTTACGTCAACGCTTGCCCAACGGCAGAATGCTATCTGGGAAAAGGCATAAACCTTGATTGTTATTGACATTGTAACTGAAGAAAAAAGGTAATGTAACAGTACAGTAACAGTTGTGACAGGGGATATCAATTTGATAAATTATGCATCTTAGTTGTAGTTGATCAAACTAGTTCTAATATCAAACTAAGAAAATAAAAGCCTTATTATTATTGGAACATTGAGTGTCAATGCAGATGCTTTTTCAAAGGCAGTCTTGAAAGCATTTGCCTTTAGAGGCAGTGTGTGACAACCAAATTGAACCTGACAAGTATCAACCAACCACCTCAATCAAAATAGATTTCGAACATTTGTATGCTTGGGCTCAGTCAAACTAGTGCATCTGGTTGTAGACAGGTTCTGGAATGGCAACAGTATCAATGTGATGTGAAAGTCTAAGGAAATGTTGCACAACTGAAGCAACCTCTTTCCAGTTTATGGAAGAGCAAAATTGGAAAACTCAGTCTGCAATACTGAAAATAGTCAGACTATCGAAGAAGCCATTGTGTTTTGATTCCAAACACTTCGTTGTCCAGTAACTGAAACTGTTTTAGTTTCATTTACCCTTACCTAAGTCATCCAGGGATTTACCTTGAGTCCTATATTTGAGGGTTCGTGAGACTCATACTCTTAATTTTCAGGGGTCCTGGACAACAAAATGGGGGTCTCAGACATTTAAATATTATTATTAAGATTATGTTGTGATATTGTTGTAATTCATTTACTGTTATTGTATTGTGTATCATGATCATCACATTGTTACAGTAAATAAATTACAAATGATACCATAACCCAGCTGGTAGCAGACTCAGTCACAACTTATTGTCACTTGATCGAAATATTTACAAAAAGTATTTGAACGTTTTCTGCGCTGCTGTGGACACGCTAATATATTTTGTTGTGTCCATTGTCAATTTTTATGAGTATAGGACACAGGAATTCGCTTCCCATAAATCCCTGGCCATCAATGCTGTTTATGATAATAGCCATTGCTTTCCCACAAAAAAACTCCATTTTCAATTTTGTTCAGCAATAGGATTGACAGATATATTTGTGTCATGCAAAGGAATAAATCATGTATTCTACTGACACTATTTCAATGAATTCAGTCCTTCTGAAAGAAGCCAGTAGCGTATTTTGTCTGGGTACAGAATGGGCCCTTTGCAATGAAAAGATGAATATTTCTTTCTACTTACTGCCTTGGTCCAGTATATGCTGCAAGATTGACAGCTTTGATATCAGTGCAACACCTACACAAGAACTCCCTGTATTTCACTTGATCTTTTTGATCATTTCTGTAAAGAGAAAAAATGACATTCTTTGAATATGCTTTTCAGATGCTGTCATGATTATTCTTGTGAACTTGGTACAAAGGCAGAATACAAATTTATTATCTTCATTTACAGATTAAAATAAATGAATGCAGCAAAGAGGGTTCAGGTGATGGTTTGTGGCCGATTCAGCAAAAATCCTTCTTCAGCTTCGGAAAAAGGTGTTCACTCAATCGGTCCCAAAGGATGAGTTGGTTCCGCATGATATCACACCACTTTTTGAGCTATCGGGAATACATTAAAAACATAACACCACATAGAGAGGACACTTCTTTATTCTGACCAAGCAATGTGACACAATCACTGAAGTTTGGGTGGCCTAAGGTGGGGGGGAGCGGGGGGGAGGTAGGAGCTGTGAAGGTATAGTTTGGCATGAAATGCATGTGGACCCGGTTTTTTGTAAATATCTCTTCATCCAATGACCCAATGATCTCAAACTGTGCAAGTGGATGTTTTGTCAGACAACCTAATCACATTGTAAATCATCGCAGAAGGTTTGCAGAGGGAGGGAGCCAATGACCTGTAACAGCGGCAGTGTTGGGTCATAAAGGTCAACGTTCGTCAATGTAGGTCAGCTATGCTGATGACCCTGATGTCAAAAGAATCTAACTTTGTATGCACCTTCTTGTACAAGGTTTTGTTTATTGGTTGTTGGTTTATTTTTCACAATTGTTAGCACAATATTCTATTTCATGCCAAGAGCAAAAGTTGTACGTTTCATGTAATCCGACACCTTATAAATCGGTTTGCTACGTTTGCTCTCTTTTTAACAAAAATTAAACACATTGCTAATTAAACGTTTAGTATCATCTAAATAAGCTTTCATGATGACAGCTAGAAGTAGTCAATGTGAATGATCCAAACGGTCTATCACCGTGTAGTGCACAGGTAACTATCATGAACTGCACATACATTTACCTGTATGACCCAACACTACCGCTGTTACAGGTCATTGGCTCCCTCCCTCTGCAAGCCTTCTGCGTTCTGCTGTTTATTTTGTTGACTGTTACATAGACAGATTCTTTAATACAAATGCATAAAATCGATGATTTACAATGTGATTAGGTTGTCTGACAAAACATCCACTTGCACAGTTTGAGATCGATTAGGTCATTGGATGAAGAGATATTTACAAAAAACCGGGTCCACATGCATTTCATGCCAAACTATAGGAGCTGTTTGTGGTGGTTGGTGATTGTATGGCATAACCAGGGGGGTGAAAATAGGTGAGTGTTATAGTGGGGCAAAATTTTATTTGATAACCAGATGGTTGAACGCGAAGGTGAGTGTGAATGAATTGAGGGTTGTGAAGATATGTTTTTATGTAGACCCGCAGGCATGGGAGGAGACAGCCCACGCTTTAGGTAGAAGGGGACAGACAGTGAGAGTGATAGTGTAGGCGCGCGGACCTCAGAGAGGACAACACTCACTGTAGTTACAGATTGAATGAGAGAGGTAGAACAGAGAAGTGGATGGAAATAGCTTGTTAGAGAGGGGCACGTGGACATCCGAGAACACAGCCGTGCTCGAGAAAGTCAATTTGGATCTCATGTCTAAACAGTAGAGGGGAAAGGTTTGCTTAAGCTGATGTGAATTTTATTTGGGATGGTCTAAATTTTTTCAATTAAGTTAGAGTTTATGAAAAAGGTAGGGATGGCGTTGAATACATTTGGCGGGTTCTGTGGTTTAGTAATAGTTGGATGTTGTTGTGGTATTTGTTGGTTACTAAATTGTGTGGTTGTGTGATGTTTGTTTGTTGCAGGTGGCAGTGTGTGAATACGTGTTCAGTTGTTTCAGGTGATTTGCAGTGTGTGCATAGTCCATCTGGGAGTCTGTTTTGTTTGAATAGTGTGTGGTTTAGGTTGGTGATGCCTGTAAATAATCTCGTAATAAGTATGTCTAGATGTTTGGTGTTTGAGTATGTGGGTATTTTCTTAATCGGGTTTATTAGGATGGATCTGACGCAGGTGGACATGTTTGTATTGATGTTGTGTTGGTAGTTTGTGTTGAGAGTGTGTGTTTTGACAAGTTGTTTAATTTCTGTTTTGGATGTGTGGAAGTTGATGACTGGTGAGGTGTGTGTTGTTGCGAGTTTGGCTGCTGTATCTGCTGTGATGTTTCCTTGGTTGTGGATGTGTCCTGGTATCCAGATAAATGTTATGTTTTTGTTTAAGTGTTGTAGGGAGTGGAGCTGGAGTATGACATTGTGCATTAAGTCGTTTCATGATTTTGAGTGCATGTTTTGTAATTGTTTGATGGCACTGAGGGAATCTGAGAGTATTAGGAAGTTGGTTGGCTGGAGGGAGGGGATTAAGTGGAGTGCAGTTAGTATTGCTGTTAGTTCTGCTGTATTAATAGTGGTATGATTTGTGTAGTGGAGGTTTGTTGTTAAAGGGGGTGTTTGTTATACATGTATGCCTATGCCTGAGTGTTTGTTTGTGCCGATGGATGCATCAGTGTATATATGGGAGGTAATTTGTGTTTATGTGGGTTTGAATGAGGTTTGTTTTGGTGTGAATGTTTTTGGGGAGATTTTGTAGAGTGCTTGCTAGGGCGGTGTCTGTGTTGGGTGGGGGTTTGTCTTGGATATAGACCTGTGAATGTCTGGGTTAGAATGTGCCTTCAGTAACCCATGCTAACGGGATCGGGTGGTCAGGCTTGCCGACTTGGTTGACATATGTCATCGGTTCCCTATTGAGCAGATCGATGCTCATGCTGTTGATCACTGGATTGTCTAGTCCAGACTCGATTATTTACAGACCGCCGCCATATAGCTGGAATATTGCCGAGTGCGGCATAAAATTAAACTCACTCACTCACGCTTGGATGTAGCTTGTAATGGGAGGTGTGTGTTGTATGTTATTTAGTTGTTGTGCATGAAGCAGGCTGTTGAGGTGGGCGAGGAGAGGGGCTTTGTTGGGGTTGATTTTAATTTTTTTATGGTGGATTTATTGGTGATTAATTTGTAGATTGGGTTGTGTTGGGCCCCAGCCCAGTAGTTGAGTGCGGTTTGGTTTATTCGTGTTTTCATTGAAGGGATGCCTGTAAGTGTTTTAACAGAATGCATTCGTTTTTCAGTGTCATATTTCTTCTGACCAGCTTTTCTTTTTTCAGCTTGTATAGCAGACATACTCTCCTTTTTCCTCTCTGCATCACCCCTGCCAACAAGAAACTTCCTAATATCCGACATTGTTATCAGTGACAGTTCAGCGTGAATAGCAACAGGCCGCTTACATCAAAACTAGCCCTAGGTACTTCGCTTGGCTTTGCAACACGATACGTAGTTAACATTTGAAATATTTGAGAAAACTAGCGGATAACAAATCAGTGTAATGAATATTGTAAACCCAACAAAGCATGAATTTGTGAACTATATTACCTTGTTGAAAATATCAATGACACCTGGCAAGTGTGTTTACTAAATGTCAGAATTTTCAAAACATTAGATTAAATTAAAATTTCCACCTAAATTAGTTTAATCTAATTTTCATTTTAGTGTATGTGGTAAAATATATGAAGTATTTTATCTAACCTGGAAATTACCTATGTATAATGATAAAAACAAATCATCACCCAAAAGAAAAGTTTACTACGATAAACAATCGGTAACAACAAGTAGGGAATTCCCTATTATAAAGCTTATTCTGATTCGACACCAGTACCATTCATGTTGTGATGATTTTTCTCATTGGTCAGTTTATTAATAGCAGCCAATTACGATATTCGAATGATTTAGGTTACAAAACCACGCTGCATGATGTCTGCTAAAATGGATACCAAATGCATATCAAGACCTAAACTTTGCGGTTAGTTTTCAGGGAATTTGAAAATACTGCTAATAGGGAATGACGATGTTAAAACTTAAACTTGTTGTTTTGAAAAATAGTTGGGTCAATAAATGTACTCGTCCTCTGGGATGAGCAAATTATGTTTTTCACTTGCCCGAAACAAATTTTACTCGTCTATACGAGCGTAATTTGAGAGCCCTGTAAATTATGTATTTGTGTTTTTGTAAATTATGTATAAATTTTCCTACAATCGCCAGCGGCTGAAGGGATGGTGTAAATCCAACTAGGGTCCATGCAGGTACCAAAGGTATTGTAAGTCCCCATGGTCCCTAGTATGGTGACCTACCTTCAGTTACAGGAACATGCTAGTTTTAATTCTCTATCTGTTATAATCTTGTTATTTTACTGTCCCTCATCGACAGTTTTTTTCATAATTTAATTGCATTTATTATGAATTTATAATTTGTTAAAGTCACGATATGGCTGAAATATTGCCGATGTGACTATAAATCTTAACTCACTCACTCTTCTGAAGGTATTAGACATGCCGGCTTTTTCACACACTGTGCAGAACATGGCAATCCCATTAGTTGACGATGTTTGTCGCAACTACAGAAATTCATTTGACCATTTGGGCAAATTGTCAGGTGATTTTCGATGCTTTTTAATTTGTGAACAACTTGATGAAGATGTAGGCCCACTAATATAAAATCGGTGAGTGCATCACTAGATATATCATCTATCCTGTCCGCACTGAGAGCTGTGTCTTTCTTAGTGCATGTATCGGCATCAGGCCTACTAGTCAAGACAAACCGTAACATGGACGCCTGTCGTTTTCACATGATGATGTAAGTCCATGCTAAAACATGCATGCACAATATTTTTTGCGTGTTTTTATTGTTTTTTTGCGTGAAAAACAAAGTTTTTTCCGTTAACGAGAACACTGATTTTAAGGTGGAAATTGTCCAGACCCTTGCCCAACTTGAATCAGCTGTTGGTCCTCCTGATTGTTTCTAAGGTTTTGAAATAGATTGGCCCTCATGATTGATCCAATGTTTGTATAGATTTACTGGTTATCTTGAAAGAAGAAAGAGCACAGAATGATGATTAGGCCTTAGATTGATCTAGTCCAAGTTATTTTCCTTAGATATTTAATTCAACCTTGTAGATGTGCTTGCCTTCATCACTTCAAAGGAATCACAAACACGTTCCTCAGTCACAAAGACCACTGTGGGGTCAGAGACATGGTGATAATGTACGTTGTAATATTTAGCTCATGCAACAGAGGTGTAAATACAATAAATTACATACAGACAGATGCCCCATTACTTGTTTCTAAACTGATACAAAAAGGATGATATTTACCTTGACAGAAGGTTGTCTAATTCATCACTGGCAATGGTAAATCCAAATTCACGAAGAACACGTAGAAAATCAGTTCTGGAGATCAAACCATCTCTGTTGTAGTCAAAAAGCTCAAAGCCTGCATAGAGTGCCTGTTGCGTTTTCTGAAAAGGATATTGATAATAGTTGAGTTGGGTTTTACGTCACATCGGCATTATTCCAGCCATATAGTGATGAGATCAAGTGTGAATTAATCAACGTTTTAAGTACAAAGTCCAAATGAGTTGTTATTCAAAAGCATATATAGATCTTTCAGATTTGTCGAATCATAATGTGAGTCCCTTGCAGTCGAAAAGTCTGCACAGTCAAGCAGAATATGCTTGATGGTGAACACTTCACCGCAAGAGACACACATGGGAGGTCCATCACCATCCGTTTCCAGCAGATAGTCATGAGTAAACCGACTGTGGCCAATACGACATCATCGTAAAATCACCTCATCTCGTCTTGACTGACAACCCAAGTAGGCATAACAAATTGTTGGCTTCAATTTATAAAGTTTATTTCTTCCTACTTGGATATTGATAATAAAGCCTTACCTAGCTGTTTCTTAATTACAAAACTGACCCAATAAAATGCTTCTAGCCCTCATGTTTTTGTCACTATAAATTAACTCAATTGACATTTACTCAACCATTTACTCAATTGCCAATACAGTTAAATTCATATCTATACTTTTTGTCTTTGTCACTGAACACTTTATGCAGCAATGCTAGGAGTCCATTTAGCATCATCATGCTACTGTGAGCAGTATATCGAGTTTATAGACTTCTGACATGCGCAGACAGTTCTGCCTTACTTGAAAACACTATGCTGAAGTACATTTCTGCCTTTGCACCGTGAGTGAGCTGAAAAATTGTCCTACTGCAATTATGGTAAAGACTTGATATAAATTTATATATTCATAAACTCAAATGAATCATTCCCATCGTTTGAGGGAGTAAGTTTAGCACTAAGCTGATTTTTGCAATATTCTAGCAATATCATGGCAGGAGAGACAAGAAATGGACTTCACACATTGTACCCATGTTTGGAATTGAACCCGGGTCTTTCGGCATGACGGAAGAATGCTGTAACCGCTAGGCTACCCCACAGCCCTCTGTCCCTTGAAGCATAAAGACATAAAACAAACATATACCTGTCTCTCCTGACATGGTCCCTTCCTGGCGCTTTGCATTATTGGGGGACTAGTCGGCTCGGAGTCAGTATAATGTGTTTGAGTGAAGTATTCATGCTTAACTGCTGCATCTCAGTGACCTAGCATTATAAAACCAGCTTAAATCTAGGCTAGTACAAGCAGCCGCACATACACACGCATGTCGTCATATGAGCGAAATATTCTTAAGTACGAAATTAAACCCCATTTCACCTCACCTCACTTGTCCTAATATGAAGGCCATTTCTCGTGTCCTCATGCTGTGAAATTGCTGGAATATTGGTGAAATCATTTCAGCAATTTTCCAGCAATATCACAGCAGGGAACACAAGAAATAGGCTTTACACGTAGTACCCATGTTTGGAATTGAACGCAGGTCTTCGGTGTGATGAGAGAACGCTTTAACCACTAGGCTACCCCACTGCCCTCTATCCCTTGAAAGCCTTCAGACACAAAAGTAACATATGCCTATCTCTCCTAATATGAAGCCCATTTCTGGTGTCCCCATGCTGTGATATTGGTGGAATATTGCTGAAAGCGGCCTAAATCTGCGCACACCTAAACTCACTCGGTCTCCTGATTTATTGTGGTATTTTTTTATATGTTGTTGTTCATGTTCTGTAGATATATTTCCTGAAAGATACAGTACACATCAAAAATAGATTAAACATACCGACCTAGCCTAATCTTAAAACTGCTATAATCAAAACCACAATATCTTTTCTGTGCAGCCTAAACTACAGTAGGGCATGTTCACTGTATTTCAGTGATTGATTGTATAATTTTCACAGCTATTTTGTTGCTTATACCTAATGGAATCTTATTCAGACTGGTATATTATGTTTCCATTGTATAAATATCCTCAAAGACTTGTATTAAGAGAAAACCAAAAAAACAGGAATGGTGAGAAATCTTCTGGTGAAATGTGGTTTGTATCCCACACGACAAGAAAGGTCAGACATGAAAAACAAAAGTGTGATACGAGAATCAATTGGTCACTGGTCACTACCAAATGTGTGTTGCACATGAGTGAGTGTGCATATGTATGGGTCCTTTAGAACATTCATAACTGCAACTCAAGAATTCTTTAAGAACTACTCATAATAACACTGGCAACTGTTCTTAATATCAGAATATATCAGCAACTGTTCTTGATATCAGACTTTTATTTGTTGTTGATTTCATTTACTTGTGCTTGATTATATTCTCCAGTGATTTGAACCTTCAAAAGTGTGTGCAAGTGTATTGTGATTTAATTCAGCTAAATGAACCATCCTCTTACTGCTGTTAAAATAGCAATGATGTTTTCTATGAATGTACAGTATGTACAAGTTCATGTTATAGAGCGATTAAGGTTAATTTATTGAAATTATCCAGGGAAAACTTTGGTTCAACAATAACACACATATTCTTCCATTGAGTGGATTCATAGCTCTCCAGTCATGACACGGAGCTCATACTACATGGAAAAATGAAATGAAGTGATAATCTCAGTCACTCATTTAGAAAATACATTCTCATGAGTTCAAATCTCACAGACAACTGGAAAACAACTCTAAAGTGAAATATATTTAAGAATACAATAAGCCAATAAATGTTTAGTGGACAACAATTGAAGTTGATGGTTATGCTTGCCAACTAATATGGGTGAAATAATAACCACCAAGCGAGTGGTTTGCTGTGATAACCACCTCGAGGGAACCGAGAGGTTGTTATCGAAGCGAATCACAAGCTTAAGGTTGTTATTTCGCATATATCACAAGGTCAAAAACACTTATTTTAGTTGAATTATAATTACCTGCAATGTTCAGATGCTATAATGAAAGAAAAGTTCTTGAATGGTTCTGTAAATATTTATTGAAGATGTTTCCAATAAAAACATTGAGGTAGAGGCATAGGGTTGTCAAACCCGATATGCTAAGGGAAAAGTTCTTCTCGAGGTGTGATACCGGGAGTTGGTCAGATAATATGCAATGACGCAAAATAATAGCTGTCTCCTACATAGAATACAATGTATGGAAAATACACTGTTGAGAGGTTTGTACCGAAATGTACAAAACTAAGTAAAGACTATGTTAATAGCACACAAATATGAAAAGCTATTCGCAATCTCCTACATAGACATCAGTGACATATTAAAAAAAGAAAAATTTAACAGCGCAGTTTTTGTTAATTTTCTTTCGGGAGTGTTAAAAATACAAACAAGCTTAACAAACACCATTCAACACTTGAAATTGACAATGATATCTAAAGATCTTGCATTCTATGCGAGGTAAGTGTGCAAGATACGTTGCTGCACCAGAATCTCGTGCAAGTCGAGCAATTAACAATCACGTGCAATGTAAAACCACGTGATTTAAACTGACAGTGCTATACAACTGACTGACTGAGTTTGATTTTTACGCCGCTTTTAGCAATATTCCAGCAACATCACGGCGGGGGACACCAGAAATGGGCTTCACACATTGTGCCCATGTGGGGATTCGAACCCGGGTCTTCAGGCGGACGAGCCAACGCTTTAACCATTAGGCTACCCCACCGCCCCCAGTACTATACAAGCCATTACAGCAAATGAATTCCGACATAGAGGTGCTTTTGGCTTCTCGGAGAGCTGCTACGACCCTGTTCCAGGCCAGTGTGGATTTTGAAGCAAACTGGTCATCTGGTAAGTATCGTGCCCTATATAGCATTGTCTATATCTATACTTGTACTCAGTTGAAGCTTGGTGTTGTTCTAGGAAGGTGAGACCCGTGAAGGTCTGGGTTAGAATATTGGCCTTCAGTAACCCATGCTTGTCGTAAGAGGCGACTAAGGGGATCGGTGGGTCAGGCTCGCTGACTTGGTTGAGTCATGTCATCGGTTCCCAATTGCGCAGATCGATGCTCATGCTGTTGATCACTGGATTGTCTGGCCCAGACTCGATAATTTACAGACCACCGCCGCCATATAGCTGGAATATTGCTGAGTGCGGCGGAAAACTAAACTCATTCACTTACTCACTAGGAAGGTGAGGTGAGTGGGTGGTGGGTGTCATCAATTTTCTTCACATGTACTGGGGGTCTACAAGTTTGTACATGTGAAAATATTTTTTAAATTGCTGAGAAATTATTGGAAGAGGGAGGTGGGGAATTGATTTCGTACATAATATGCAGGGGGTCACTTACTTTGTCCATAAATTTAAGGGGGGTGGGGTGGGGTGGGATTCATATTGTACTTGCTTCTCCATAAAACTCATCATCACCCCCACTAGCCATAAATTTTGAATGGTCCCTAAGGTACCCTTAAATTGGGTTGGGAAATTGTCTTGCCAGCACGACAGCATAAATTTGGGACGTTATCTGATTGTTGAGAGTATCATTTGTTATTACACAACTGTTGCAGGTGTGCGGACATACAAAAGAGTAAATGAAGAACACATGAAGATGGTCAGCAGCATTCTCACCAGTAAGAAGCCAAAAACCTAGGAAGTACGATGCAAAGCGGAACACAAAGCTTCAACTCCAGAAGGTATATTTTCTTTCTCTCAGTGGAAACATAATTTTAGGGAAAAAACGTTCTCAATACTAACTCTTTAAATGAAATTAAACATTATTGGTCAGGGGAAATTGCACTGCTAATAGGCCAGAGTGGCCCACCGCCCTCCCATTCCATTGGTTATGACTTTGTACTAACCCCAAGTCTGTTGGCATTCGAGATTTTTAAGTAAAACTTGCTTGATACTGATGCATGTAATTTGTTGGTAAACGTCATTTTCACGTTAACAGAATTTATCATAAAATTAATCATTGGCGTAAATCAAATTATTCATTACAAAAAAAACATGAGCATACTGTCTAAATAACTATTTCATTTTTCAGATTATTCAAGTGACCCTGTGGAGAATCGAATAGGTGGAAGGAGGTCCCGCCGCTTCCAATTAATTAATTGCAGTGTGCAGATATTGTAAAAAATAAATAAAAATATTTGCATGGTTCTGTATTTATTTATTGAAGATGTTTCCAACAAAAACATTGGCATAGGGTTGTCAAACCCGATATGCTAAGGGAAAAGTTCTTCTCGAGGTGCAATACCGGGGAAGAAGGTGAGGCGAGGCCGGGCCTTGTTCCCAGTATCGCCCCGAGATTTGGTCAGATAACCGCCCTAGGGGGTTATATGATAACCAACCTCTGGAGAAGGTTGGTTATCCGATAACCAACCCCTTGAGAGGTAGTTCTCAAAAATGAATAACCCCAGATATTGACCCGATAATCAACCCAAGTGGTATATGAAGATATTTTGCACCAACCTCATCGTCCATTTGTCTACCACTCCTAGAGGGCCTTGCTGTTTGTGTTGTAACACTTGTATTGACTGTTTCTCTTTTCACACATGTTAAAACATCCAGGCTGCAATCTCGTGTTGATAGCTTACTGCTCTTTCCATGCTTTTTAGAAGAAACTTTCTGCTGTCTGATTTCCTTTGAGACCACAATATTGGCATCAACTTGTCTCTCTTCAACCAGGGTCTGTGGTGGTATAACTATACCTTGGCAAGATGGCAGAAAGCAATGATGAGTCAAATGACCCCCCATATCTATTTCTCTGTTTCTGTAATAAATCAGAAAATCTCATGACATATATATGCACTGACATGCTATATCTAATTCAACTGGGTTGATATTTTCACTAGTGGACTCAAGTCCCTAACATTCATCATAAGCTCAGTAGCATATTAAGTATGTTGAGTTTACTGCAAAAGAAAGGTTTGGTCCAAGACAATGTCTTGGTCCTCAATGCACGTGTTGTGAGGGCAATCTATTTCACAAACATTTTTCTTTACTTATGATCATCAGAATCTCTGTACTTTTACACATCAGTCATAATTCCAAATTATCTAACTAGATTTTCTGGACTGTCTGGTTTGTGTACATTCCGACATTACATATGTGGTGTCAGGCAAAAATTACTTCCATTTTTAAGCAAATTATGTGAATGGGTTGTAGGACAGGTAGGGAAGAAAATGCTTAGTATCGTTTACCCTTTTCAAGCTGTTACTGATTTTCAGTGATCCATTCAAATACTTTTCACTGCTAGTTTAATCTTTATACCAAACAGAATTTGTTTCTGAGGATAGCCATTACTGGATATTCTTTTGCTCTGATGTTCAATATTAAAGTACTGTCGGAAATAGAAAAAAACTGTATTTTCTCATTTATCTCTACAATTTATGTAGTTGATATGTGCAAGCGTGAAATATCTCTTAAACTAAGTTCGGCCAAACTACAGTCTCAATGGTAGGGACACAAGAAACGTAGAAAAAGGACTTTACTGAGGAGAGATTAGTGCAGAAATGAACAATGCGATTTTTATCTAAGTCCAAAACTAATTATTTGGAACAGACCATGGCTGTATGCAAATTAGTGTGCGACGATATTGTATTATAAAGGACACTTTTTAAGTGACCAATTTGAAATTAGACGTAGCTTCATGATAAACGATAGCTGGCGTAAAAAATATTAACTTTCATGCTGAAACTATTAAGGATGTAGCTACCATGGAGTCTCACTGTCACTATAAAAAGAAACAGATAGGAGGGTTCGTCTCAAAAGCAAAACCTGGACGGGTGTCGCAGACGATCGTTGGAGTCAGGCTTGGGGATAAAGATATCAGCTAAGATACGATAATCCTTTAGGGCAATTATACTGGGGAAGTACACGGCATGTCATAAAAATTTACAAATAATATCCAGTCCTGTCGATCTTCGCGATCGGGTGGTCATGCCACCTATATATTTTGAGACATTTAATACGATGCGTTTCTATGGTTATCAGGTATAAAACTCTTTTACATATCTCAACATAAACTTAATGAAAGAAAGACACTTAAGCTGTTAATCAATAGATGAGGCATAGTCAACACACATGAAAAAGCACAAAATATCTTTGAGATGACCCCTTGGGCGCCTGTAGGCAGCACATGCATTTCATGCCAGGTGAGTCGACGGTCCGTCGTCATACCTGGCTGAGCGACCTAATTGTCATCTATAGTCTGATCTATTGTTTTCAGCAGCTATTTGTATTTTTTCTAAGTTTGCCCGATTTTACGAGTAAACATGCTTTTCTGGATATCCTATTACGCATCCCACTGAATGCCAAGTTAGGCCGAAGTGGGTTATTTCGACATATGCTATTTGCAGTTGTGTACATTTTAGGGATACAGAGACTATATCAGAGTCGGGCGCCTATGGAATGTATGTTGGCTTATAGTGTCGACAGCGGAAAGTTTATATTGAACATTTTCCGACAGTACTATAGTAAACACATTTTAAACTATTTTGACCCAAATTGTTTATTGATATTCCTTGACGATCAAAGCATAGCGTAATTCAAACTGCGTGTAGCCGTGTTTGTGCGGTTCGGCTCTGTGCTGCTGCTCAAGACGACACAAGGCAATGGTGATGAAATGAATTTTATTAAATGAAGAATGAAGCTGTTGCTGAGGTCAAACCTGAGAAGGGAAAGGATGTTTCCAGCTCAGCAACAGCAAGTGGAGTCATAAAAATTAAAATCAAGTAAATAATATTAACAAATTTTAACAATAGTTTTAAATATCACAGTAAATATATTATCAATTTAACTACCAGGATAAGGTTATTGCACTTTTGAAAAAAAATGAAAGCACATGGTTTCAGCCATGTTTATATTTACATTAATTGTAAACTAATATATTTAACTGAATTTATATAATTATCAATTAAATATTACTTTTAATGTTATAATATTATTATTGCAATAACATTTTTCACCTTTTTATAGGGATTTATAAAGTAAAGAGGCAGATGGAAACAGATTAGAAAAATGGCCATACCTGAGAAGGGAAAGGTTGTTTCCAGCTCAGCAACAGCAAGTGGAGTGAGATGGAAAACAGGAGGCCAAAGGAAGTAAGGTCAAAGGACACAATAGCTAAATTAGAAAGTAGGTAGCACATCAAAGGAAGACTTTGATGTGACCTATTAATAGAAAAGGGAAAATCCCAAAGAAATTGTTACCTGGCTAAGAATAGAGAAGAAGTGAAGGGAAATCCTTGTTGACAAGGCTACATGAAACAGAAGGAAAAGGTGAAGATGTACAGAGGCGGCATTCAACGGCAAGACTCGGACAACATGGAACAAATGAACATTTCACATTTAATGATATTTATGAAACATGATGAAATGAATTGTGATTTGATTTAGCACTACAGTCTGTTTGAGTCAGAAACGGACCGATGAATTGCAAATTTTATCATTGTACAAAAATGCCACCAAAAATGTTCTTTAAGAAAATATCTTTAAAATTTTGACACAGTTCACTATTTGTGACGAGGGAGGGGTGCAGAGAAAGGGACAGCCAGGTGTGCGAGAAAGGATGGAGACGGCACAGCACAGGCTAATGAATCAATAACTTGGTGGGCACGTGCTTCTCTAACACCTGGCTGTCCCTTTCTCTGCACTCCTCCCTCGTCACAAATAGTGAACTGTCAAAATTTTAATGATTGTTTCTTAAAGAACTTTTTTGGTGGAGTCCGGAAAATTTTCAAATATAAGAAAGCTGTTGGGTATTAGTAAATGATAAACATGTGTACTATTTATATTTATGTGGCAATTTTGTACAATGATAAAATTTGCAATTCATCGGTCCGTTTCTGACTCAAACGGACTGTAAAATAAAATAAAAGCACTGCTACATGCGCATACACATCTTGTGAAAGAGAACACGACTCAATGGTTGGACGGCAAAGCTTTTTCAATCATCCACTTGTAGCCGGGTGGTAGTTATACCTCTGACTAACATGAATGCCACTCACTCATGACCCCCAAGTCTTCATTACATATATTTGCCAAGCAGCAACCGTTATCAGGCGCGGGGGTCAACAAGTGCTTACCCTGATCCAGTCGATGTACTACACAACGGCAGCGCAGGACAGGTTCATACGGGTTCGATCGTCTTACCACGGCCACACCTGCTATGGCTATACAACGATACCTAAGCGCCTTTGTACAAAACAACCTTAGCGCTATGTTAACTTATGGGAGTTACGGTCACCTTAGCACTAAGATCGCTTTGGATAACGGCACCCAGGACTGGGTAGGATATATATATCAGCCACACTGCGAGGGACCGTCGAGGCGCTGCAAGTTTTCGCCCGAAACGACCGGTTTGAGGCGCCATTCAGAATGATCAGGGGCCCGATCCACATTTAGCGTTCATAGCGCTACGACATTCGTAATAAACTAAAGATTAACAACAGGTCGATCGTTACGTTACGAACACTTTGTGGATCGGAACCCAGTGCTTTTCTTTGTTTTTTTCAGAGTATATTTATTTTTTAAAAGATAACACACATTTATATGAATATGGGATATGAAAATGTATGAATGTATCATAGGCGCCCATATAGGTCATGCTTATAAATATATCAGAGTCGGGCGCCTATGGAATGTATGTTGGCTTAAATAGTGTCGACAGCTGAAAGTTTATATTGAACATTTTCAAATCTCTCTCTACAAAATCAATTACACACCCCCACCCCCACCCCCACCCCTCTTAAAATCATCGCAAGCTATGTAGTTTCGAATACCCTGGTACCGAACATTTTAGTAACGGAGATTACATACTCTGGCAAATCAAGCAGAAAGTTACCATTATCCACTCACAAGTTTTGAATATTTTATTTTTCTTCTCCCATCTGGCAAACCTCATATTCTAAAGTAACTTCTACTGTGTGAAAAAGAGCACAATTCCCTAATTTGGCGGTGGGAACGGACATTTCACTCTTGTTTCTACGCAGGGAATATTTACTAGAATGTATACTTTACTAAGAAAATGTAATCCCAAATATAACATATGTTACAAGTTATTTCATGTCGAACAAGTAATTTTTCCAGGCACCACATTTGTTCGCGTCGGCCATATTCGCACATCGGCGCTTCCTCCTCAATTAGAAAGAGGAGCTAGATTAACATCTAGTCTATGAAAAGAACATATTTACAGAAAACAAACGGTTTCTAAATTATGTATATAAAATATGATAAAAGAAGAGTCCCAAGGCTTTCTTCATTTTAAGCCTGAAACTGTGGTAATCTAGACTTGCCACATATTCTAGACTTGCATGGGCTACATTGGGTATATTTTGTTTCCATGTCTGTATGATCGCTTTACCGTACATGTTGCATCCATTCAAGTGATACGAGCATTTATGACCCGCTATCAGATAACAGTACGATCTATAGCTTCACCGCAACAGCAAACAGTTTTAGTATGTTGGCGCAGAGCAAAAGCGTCAAAGGCTTCGGCTATTTAATGACCCAACTGATTTTAATTAAATCTAAATGCATTTTCAGTACGTTTTACGTCCACAGCAACGCTTGTGTGAGTCACTTTGATCAATGAATTTCTTTTCAGTTTTTATCATTTATTGCATTCTCCCAATACTTTGCGTCAGAAAATTCCCCTTTAAAGGATAATTTCATAATTATTCGATTTGAATATATAATAACAAGAAACAGGAATCGAATTCTATGTCATGCCAAATCTATGTGTACAATTATTAAGGCCTCTCACCTTTTGACCGTTTTGTCTTTCATCAGCACAGTTTCAAGTGTTGGATCAGTAAATCTTGTTCCTTCCAAAATGTCGAATTGTTTATCGTCCATATCCGTCCATCGCGGAACCCGCATCGCTGGATATATTTTTAGCGCTTTTATATGAAAGTTGCCACGATGCTAAAACACAAGGAGGAACGAATAAGTGAGTGAGTAAAAATTTAAAATCCCATCTAGGTACATTTTGTTAATGTTCTTACATGTTTGGATAGGTAGCAAACATTATCTGTACATCTGCCTCAGTAAGCTGATACAAAATCTGAATGTTGTTCACGGGGAATATAAACTGGAAAACATATTTCATCACTATCTGAGGAAGTGACTTTACATTGACATTATCGATACGTTTCCGAGTATCAACCCAAACCATAAGATATATGTTCCAGGTGACTTTCTGGTTATGCGTTTACACTTTTACGCTAAAATATTAGTGGAGGTAAAAGTATCGATTTTACCTGCAATGGTAGGCTACTGTGCGATAATATACATTTCCATACATGTAATTAGTTAATGACTTTTCAAGTCATGTAATGGAAAAATACCTCTTCCGGTGCCTCCTTATCAGTAAGTGCCAGAGGGTCTCTCGAAAAACCTTAAACAAAAATAACATCGAGTGATTTAGTTCAGTTTGGTTGCATCCAAGCCATGAAGCATATTTCATGAATTGCCCAAAGTAACGCAGGTCAAAGATATGATCCCTGTCACGCGCAGGTTGGAAGTAGGATGGCGATTCTTCATCTATGATGTTGTTGGTGAGGCGACGGCATTGGCCAACGCTACGACTGATCGAACAATCCCTTATCTTCTGTCGGTAATCTGGCAACGACTGATCGAACAGTCCCTAATTTGCTCTTGGTAATATCCTTGGCTGGTATCATGTCAGTGTTTTACGCCATGTGCTGCAAGGTCATTGACCCACGCATATGTACGTAAGATCCGTCGACATGATAACTGACATTTATAGATGGCTTGGGGAATCAGTCCTTCCCGGGGAGGGTTGTTATGATAACATATGAGATGAGATACACCGAATGTTAACTGAATTTCTTTAAACTGACGAAGGAGATAGAATTTCGATGTACTTTAGACACATATTGAAGCAATTAGTTATTCTGAATAAATGAAGTATTTACGAAAGTTACTGAAATGTTTATCAGATGTTTAGCACAAACGCTGCTAAGATGCCAATAGCCTAACAACAAAATCAGGAGAATGTGGGACCATGCATGGCCCATGTATGCGAGTCTCTAGATGGCGTCGACATGTTCACGTTGCTCTTGTGCCATCTCGTTGGGAAAAGTACTTCCAATTCGAATGTACGGTTCAGTGTACTTAAAGTTTGAAACAAAATCATTTCTCCAACATGTTTCGTTCGTCTTACCTTGCTATAGAAAGTATTTAGCGTTGTTCAGCCATATTGGCACAAAAAACGTGTGCAAACTTTATGTCAAAATATAAACCTTCCAACAAAGGACTGCAATCTAGCAGCATATTACACAATTTAAGACAGGTGATTACCTAAACGGAATATAGTTGTAGTCGCATGACTAATAAGACAATGGCTAAATGAAAGCACTCAATGCTGGCCGCAGGCGAAGGCATTCGACAATAAAATGGCATAAGGACCTCATAAATTCCTCAGCACTCGGCAAACAGAAACAACCATTTTTACTTTTGGGCACTTCAGATAATTGAACGAACATGCAGTCCGACCTTTGTATGATGTCTTATTTTCATTCGATCCTAACCTTTTGTTAGATAATGAAATGGAAACACGGATATTCCATATTTTCTGAATAATGGCAATTTTTAGGGCTTGTAATTACGGAGATATCATCGGTTGTATGACACGGATACGATCATGGCCACCGGGGATTGTATAGCTGAAAATAATACGTCCTAGGTCCAACACTCGTTCACTGATATTCAGCTACATATAAATAAGTTCAACATGAACGAGTGTTAGACCAAGGACGTGTATATTTTCAGCAATACAAGCCCCTGTGATCATGGCAATGGTGGTCAACTCCACATGCATGGTGATCCACTAACACTATTACAATCCCTTTGTTACACGTCCGGGTGCGAACGGGACACGTACAACTCAATCCTGGCCGTGGCGAGGATAGAATGGGCCCCCAAACAACCCAATGCTGGTCGTAGAGAGGTTATAATGGGCCCCTAACAACCCAATGCTGGTCGTGGCCAGGATAGAATTGGCCCTAACAAAACCAATGCTGGCCGTGGCCAGAATAGAATGGCCCCTAACAACCCAATGCTGGTTGTGGCGGGGACAGAATGGGCCCCTAACAACCCAATGCTGATCGTGTCTGGGTGTGAATGACCCCTAACAACCCAATGCTGATCGTGGCGAGGACAGAATGGGCCCCTACAAACCCAATGCTGGTCGTACCCAGGATAGAATGGGCCCCTAACAACCCAAAGATGGATGTGAATGACCCCTAACAACCCAATGCTGATCGTGGAGAGGTTAGAATGGGAACTAACAGCCCACTGCTGATCGTGTTAGAGGTTAGAATTGGACCCTAACAACCCAATGCTGATCGTGGTGAGGTTAGAATGGGCCCCTTACAACCCAATGCTGATCGTGGTGAGGTTAGAATGGGCCCCTTACAACCCAATGCTGATCGTGGTGAGGTTAGAATGGGAACTAACAACCCAATGCTGATCGTGGAGAGGTTAGAATGGGAACTAACAGCCCACTGCTGATCGTGTTAGAGGTTAGAATTGGACCCTAACAACCCAATGCTGATCGTGGTGAGGTTAGAATGGGCCCCTTACAACCCAATGCTGATCGTGGTGAGGTTAGAATGGGCCCCTAACAACCCAGTGCTGATCGTGGAGAGGTTAGAATGGGAACTAACAGCCCAATGCTGATCGTGTTAGAGGTTAGAATTGGACCCTAACAACCCAATACTGATCGTGGTGAGGTTAGAATGGGCCCCTTACAACCCAATGCTGATCGTGGTGAGGTTAGAATGGGCCCCTAACAACCCAATGCTGATCGTGGTGAGGTTAGAATGGGCCCGTAACAACCCAATGCTGATCGTGGTGAGGTTAGAATGGGCCCCTAACAACCCAGTGCTGATCGTGGAGAGGTTAGAATGGGAACTAACAGCCCAATGCTGATCGTGTTAGAGGTTAGAATTGGACCCTAACAACCCAATACTGATCGTGGTGAGGTTAGAATGGGCCCCTTACAACCCAATGCTGATCGTGGTGAGGTTAGAATGGGCCCCTAACAACCCAATGCTGATCGTGGTGAGGTTAGAATGGGCCCGTAACAACCCAATGCTGATCGTGGTGAGGTTAGAATGGGAACTAACAGCCCACTGCTGATCGTGTAAGAGGTTAGAATTGGACCCTAACAACCCAATACTGATCGTGGTGAGGTTAGAATGGGCCCCTAACAACCCAATGCTGATCGTGGAGAGGTTAGAATGGGCCCCTAACAACCCAGTGCTGATCGTGGAGAGGTTAGAATGGGAACTAACAGCCCAATGCTGATCGTGTTAGAGGTTAGAATTGGACCCTAACAACCCAATACTGATCGTGGTGAGGTTAGAATGGGCCCCTTACAACCCAATGCTGATCGTGGTGAGGTTAGAATGGGCCCCTAACAACCCAATGCTGATCGTGGTGAGGTTAGAATGGGCCCGTAACAACCCAATGCTGATCGTGGTGAGGTTAGAATGGGAACTAACAGCCCACTGCTGATCGTGTAAGAGGTTAGAATTGGACCCTAACAACCCAATGCTGATCGTGGTGAGGTTAGAATGGGCCCCTAACAACCCAATGCTGATCGTGGAGAGGTTAGAATGGGAACTAACAGCCCACTGCTGATCTTGTCAGAGGTTAGAATTGGACCCTAATAACCTAATGCTGATCGTGGTGAGGTTAGAATGGGCCCCTAACAACCCAATGCTGATTGGGTGAGGTTAGAATGGGCCCCTAACAACCCAAGTCTGATCGTGGTGAGGTTAGAATGGGCCCCTAACAACCCAATGCTGATCGTTGTGAGGTTAGAATGGGCCCTAACAATCCAATGTTGGCTGTGTCCGTGTGATAATGGGCCTTAACAAGACAATGCTGGTCGTGGAGAGGTTAGAATGGGCCCCTAACAACCCACTGCTGACCTTGTTACAGGTTAGAATGCTGGCTGTGTCCGGTAATGGGCCCTAACAACGCATGCTGGCTGTGTCCGGCTGAAAAATGAGCCTTAACAACACAATGCTGATGGTGGAGAGGTTAGAATGGCCCCTAACAACACTATGCTGGTCGTGAGAGGAGACGTAATTGCGTCACATTCGGTGACTTGGTTCTTTGTTCTTTTCCAAATTAAATTTCGATATAGCGCAGTTTCAGTGAATAAGAAGTACATGTTTGCACGTGTCCCTGTTTGATACAGTGTTTATTAAAACTCCAGTATTTCAAAAGGTATCTAACCGACTTTGCTTCTTCCATAATTACAAAATTGATTCAATCTCACGGGACTGTATTAAGTAATACATTGTCTTATCCTGAGAGTCGTTTATATACCGGTAAAGAATAATGACAATTATTATGGATATACAACTTCTTTTATTCTGTGGAGGCGACGTTTCGACATAGGTTCTATCTAATGTCGTTGTCAAGCAAGTGATTACAACAACGACATTAGAACCTATGTCGAAACGTCGCCTCCACAGAATAAAAGAAGTTGTATATCCATAATAATTGTCATTATTCTTCATCAACTCAACTTCTAAAATGCCCATCAAAGAAGAAATATTATACCAGTAGAGAAATTGAATGTTTAAACTAGTGTGGAAATTCGAAGGTGGCTGCCTTAACGCTAGTTTTACAATATTTGTTTCAGATTACATACGCGCTATAGCCTGTTAATAACATAACTTTGCATGAGCTTCGACCAAAGGTTGAGAGATATTCTCAAAATCTCACTGGTTGTCATGTGACATTTCCTGGTCCCCACTGGTTGTCATGTGACGTTTCCATTGTCCTCACCTGTGGCCTAGTGACATTTCTCTGGTTGTACGAATTAAGCTAAATATATAAGAGTTACAAGTACCGAAGGCGTTAAAAGAAGGATTTGTGGAAACACGTTACAAGACCAACGTACGTAAAGGCCACTCGGATGTGGTTTGAGATATGCCTGTACAGGTTACCTGATGTTTCCCAGTGTGTGTCTTCATAGGGTAATTGGCCTGTTGGGTTTGCTGAGTGGTATCTAGCAGTCGTACCTTCGAGAGGCAATGTGTTTGGCTGCATTGTAGTCACGAGAAGATGAACCCCTTCAGCTGTTCGAGGTCGAGTTGATACCCTAGCCCCAAGTTTTCCTTCACACCAACCAGGTACGGTAAACGCCATAACTCACACTGTTGATCTGCACACAGACAACAACCCAGTTTATTTGTTTTGTTGCTGGGCGATGAGCGACACATACTACAACAGCGAACTGAAGCCCATTTACTAAGTACGGACTCTACGATCAATAATAATTCATGCCATTCATACATCGTGTTTGTGTGTGTGTGTCCATATGTATGTTTGGGATGGAGGAGCTCTCGCTAGTGGAAAGGTGTTATTCGCGCCGGTTTGTATTACTTTGTACATGAAAAGTGTCCTGCAGAAATGCCGTGCTTATGTAAAATTAATGTTTGGTACTGGCCGTTTAGCACTTTGTTTCGTAACGGGTGTTGGCTGTGTTTTGACTTCGGTGTAAAGACATCGGTAGAGTCTCAAAGAAACACGTGTAGGTAGCAAACCAATTCTACACGTGATACAACTAACATTACGACATATACTCGGTGTCATACAATACATACTCCGAGCCTGATTGTCCGTTTCTATTTAGCTTTTAAGGATTTTCTGGTTTCCTTCATATCGTTCACTGCTAGATGTAATCGTTGATTTTCCGAGATCTATTCGGGGTTTTTTTTATCGCTGGTTTGCCTGCTGGGACCTGGTTGGGCTTACTGCCAGTGTGTTTGCTTACTGCGCCCGGTTTGCTGTGTGTAACGCATTTGTACGCGGCGACATTTTTGTGACATTCGGACTGGCAGGGAAAAGCACAATATAAAAACGGGCTGACAACCAGCAACTGAAGACATAGCACCATGGGGACTTACGATATCTTTGCTACCTGCATTGACCATAGCTGGATTTACATAATTCCTCGAGATGATAACGATTCTTGTGTAAATTAGCCATTAAATGTCTATTCCCAATCAGCAAACAGTTCAGGCACATGGTCAACATAGTCCTCTTTCCGAGATTGTCACGAATCAAGCTGTCTTTGGCTCATCTCATTATGGTCTCACTGGCGACATATTTTCACGTACATCTTGACTTGATAGGGTGGACAGAGGCAAGTTTGAACAAACTCACTTGCCTAAGGTGAGACCACATGTATCACATATGCTTCGTTGTGGGGCAGGACTGAAGTCCTAGATTCTCAGGAGTCATGCTGCCAAACACGGTCACCCATCCGAGGACTGTCCGCGACCACCGTTGCTTATCTTCAACTGATTGTGACCTGAGCTCTACGCACAGGACCACACACCGCCACAAATAAATGTTTTTATTCCTGTTCTATATTCAGTATTATTTCATGGTATTGTGATATTTGTCAATTTTCCCAATTTTGCCATATACGTTGGGATATGTGTCAGAGTTATATCAAAATATTCTGCAGCGATTTGGAGGCGTAATCAAACTTTAACGCACCATATATTCCTTTATTCTGTATCATAGTATTTCCAATGTTAACATTATATAGATTCACAAATTACTGAACAATATGTACGACATATACAATAGAGATGCAGCACGATTTCAATGGCCGTCTAAAGTAAAATATCAGTGGTAATAGAAATATTGTAGAAATACTTTCACCTTGCAGCAACAGTGGTCAAGCTTTCGGAATACATCTAAGAATGATACCCACAGTGAATATATCAATCTTCACAAAATTAAAAACATTTATTCCTGTCTCTCCCATTTCTGTAAATATGGGCCGCTTCTCGGAGCGCCAAGGCCGATGGTGCCCTTAACAGCTGGTAATTTTTTTTAGAATTCGACGAAAGTGTCAGAGACCCGTAGCTTTAGTGAGTGAGTGAGTGAGTTCATATTTATCGTCACATCGGTAATATTACAGCCATATCGTGACGAGAACAATTAATTGTTGTATTATAGATCAGTAAACTTAGAAACTAAAAAGCCTGTTGACGAAGAACAGCAAAACTACTAGTGTATCAGATACTAAAGTAAAACTAGCATGCATAAAACGATATTTTTAAAGGTATAAACCCTAGGGGGAAACATAAATCACTAACTGGCATCGTTATAAATAAAACCCCGTCATTCACTTTCGACCTTTAATTGACTTAAATCGACCTTTTGACAACAGTGCACAATTCTCACCCGCGAACGAAATTTCAACCAATCAGAGCGGCGCGCCTCTGTGACGTCATATGAGGAATAGCTTTGAGGGCCGATGCAGAATTCATCTACATTTTAGGGGTTAAATTATCTTGTTTACAGGCTTGTATAAACCTAAAATCGTGACAATTGATGTGGAACATGAAAGCTATATGTTCTCACAATCTACTGTCATTTAATTTTGTCTCCTGCTTTGCCTAGTTTCCGAGTTACAACTTGTTTTCATACACGATTCTGTGAAAATCGATTGGTGTCGTTAGGCCCTATTTGTATAATGACTGATCCAAATTGATCCCATTTCTGTGTTTTTTTTCCTCGATATTTAATCATGTCATGTAAAAATCTGTTTGTATTCTCAAAACAGTGTCGGCCCATAAGTTTTCACATGCAATACAGCAATTAATACTCCCTTGTTGTAACCCGTGTTAGGTGGTATAAACCTACACATGTTATTTGTCATCATTCACTTGATGGTCAGTTAATGAATTCATAACAGGTATAATTAGTGGTAACACACTTAGATTACCCGACAAAGGTTCCCATTTGGCGTTTCTTGTGTCTGGAGTAAATATTCAACATTATAAACATCGATCAAAGGATTAACCGATAACACGCTGATTGATTAATTACTTTTTATCTTACACAGCGGAATTGTCAAAAGGTAGTGTTTATGTATGTAGATTTACTAATCTATACTGAATACACTCTGTCGTGTCGGTGTCTGCGTAAAACACCGTCCTTCGTTCAAAGGATTAACCGACAATACATTGATTGATTGCCCATTATTGTCTAACTAAATTACTGTTTTTAAAGAAAGGCGGACATTATGCAATTAGTTGCCAGGTGTGCTATCTTGGGTGACTAATGAGACTATACACCAATACCTGAAAAGATTTATCACTTTTTCGTATATTAAACTGTTAAAAGACACATCATTTGGAACAGTTTTGTGGATATTGATGGATACATTCCTCGAACAAGGTAATGGCCTGATATTGTTCCTATAACTTTAATCTGTTTTAATTTTAATATTTGCATTTTGTTTTTATTCATTTGTCGTAGCATTCAACAGAATCACTGTTTTCACCGTGAAGTGTAATGAGACAGACAACATGCACTAGGGTGTGTGTGCGAATTATGATTCACATTGGCAAACTATAAAATGTCTAGATATTACAGTTCTGTTATAAATTCACTATAAGTATCAGCAGATCGTCTGCTTTTTATTTAGTTTCAAAATGCATACAAGTGTGATAATAAACTAATTAGGATTATAAGACCAAATATAAAGATGCACATTGACTAGTATCTACATACTGGTGAGTGGACATTAACCATGGGAATGTAGCAAGAAATTTATCGCGCAGTATTGTGACTTCGACCCCCACCTCGCTTCCGTGGAAGAAATCGTTATGTTATAAGTTGTGTCATGCAAAATCCGTTTGGTTATGATTCCAATACATATTTAACTACGAGTAGAAAGTAGTCTTGATTTTCTAACTTGATGAAAACAAACTATAATCTCATTAATTCTAACAGATGTTATTATTTTTACATCCGCCGGAAACATCCGCCAGTCTGAGGATAAATGGTATTTAGGTTTGTTTTCACCGAGTTACAAAATCAAAACTACTTTCTACTGGTAGTAAAATATGTATTTTATTGATGGCCAATAGGATTTTGCATGACATAGCGTATATCATAACAATTTCTCTCGTGGCAGCGAGGTGGGTGTCAATATAATACTACTTACAATATTATTGTTACTTCGACCACAACCTCACTTCCGAGGAAGAAATCGTTATGTTACAAGTTGTGTCATAGAAAATCTTTATGGTCATCAATCATATGCATATTTTACTACAACTAGTGAGTAGTTTTGATTCTTTAACTTCCGTGAAGCGATCTGAACACAAGTAAGATATCGTTTCAGGCTTCCACAACGCTCGCTTCGCACTCACAAACATAACCCATTTAGCACGAACTGCGGGGTCCTGTGGAAATCTGTGCATGGGGACACCATCGCCCGACCCCTAGGAGCAATTGCCGACAAAGCAACGATTCGGCATGTCGTCCTTGATGTCGAGAAATCATCAAAATGACGAGCTTGCTACACATTTTCTATACAACTAACTGAAAATCGTTCCTCATATGACGTCACTGCAGTGCTCTGGCGACAGAGTTACGTAACCTGTCTGTGGTTTCGTTGGCGGGCGAGAGGGAAGCAGGCGACTTTTTGGCCACTTTTAATCGCTCGGTATTAATTAACCACAAGTTTTTCAAGAATAAATTTGGTGTTCCGCATAAGACTAACCACAAATCTTTCATATGTAATGGTTAAAAGAGTAACAAAAAACAAAGTTTATTGGTTCTTTAAAGAGAACAATACAACATATAAACAGGCTATACAGACTGAAGGTAGATCACCGTACTAGAGACCATGCAGTACATTTGCTTCCTGCATGGACACTAGCTGGATTTACACCATCCCTTCAGCCGTTACCGATTCGGACAAATCGAGCCATACATTAAAATGACACATATTCCACGAAAATGAGTGGGGAGCTTTTAAATTCACTTTGATTGTTTTAGGAGGAAAATAATTTTAGGGTATTATTATATGATATTTATATAGCGCACATATCCAGGCAAATGGTGCTTGCTCAAGTCGCTGGTATTTTTTCCCCGATCATTGGATGTCAGCCTCAACAGCACATCGTGTTATCAGTCTCAACTCCTGGGGTGTATACAACTCTTGCAGCCACTAGGCGCACCAAGTTATTGTGGCCTTCCCATCCTAACGAGGGTACCCATTCACAGCTGGGTGGACTGGGGACACATAGTCACAGTACTTTGTCCAAGTTCACTGCACGTTGCTGTACCCGCACGTATTCATGTGGCCACCATCTGGTCATATACAAACGGATTCGTGGGTTCTTTAAGTGCACAGGATGTGTACTGTACACTACGGGTTGTGACAACGCTGAAAGAGTCTGCACACAAAGTTGACTCCGAGGTTTTTACACCTGGTCACAGGTGGGCTCGATACCGACACCTCAAGCTCGCTGGATCACTAGCCTGGCACCTTAGCCAGCTCGCCCACCGCGCCCCACGGTACTTCAACTCCCTTTGAGTATACAGCCACTATCAATCTCAGTAACCAATTATACAAAATACATCTAACTACAAACCATACAACTCAAATAATAATTTATTTGCAATTCAATTTCTTGTAAAACCTCGATAATAAAAATGATAATTAACATTATTAAAAAGATCCCTAACAGTTTTAACACTAAACTATTTATCCCTTGTGATGGAAAAATGAATACAGTCAAGCAGGACATGCTTTAAGCAAATGTTCATGTGTATATCTTGAATGGCCAATACAACTTCGTCTGATGATCTCCTCAAATCTGGAGTGTCGACCCGAGTAGGTATAACCAATAGCTGGATTAATTTCATATAGTTTATTGTCACTTACTTGGGTGTCCCGCATCTTTTGCATTAGATCCCGCACGTAACGTCTAATGACAGGTTTATAATCACTGTATGGGATAAAAAGTGGTGTCACAGATTTGTTGAGTGCTGCTTTACCTGCTATTCCAACATTGCTGGTCACGATATGGCTGAGATATTGCCGATGTGACTTTAATTTTTAACCATTCCAACATGGTTGGGTAACCAACAAAAGTCGATGTTGTATTGGCCAGTAGCAAGAACATTGAATAATTAAATAATTTCAGTTGAAAGTGGATGTTAAAATGACATGATTTTGATAGCCTGAAGGCACGAAGGTTCGAAATATATATTGCCTCGGCTGTGAAAATAGAGCTGTTATCCAGTAATCGAGAAGATATTGTTCTGGATCCAATAGGCCACTCTTAATATTTATGCATGTGACCTTTGACCAATATCAAAACGAGGTCATACCCGCGTAATCAGCGAATCGTGATGGCGACGAAATCCGGAAGCGATCTGACGGCTGTCCCGTCTCTCACATTTTCCTTCGTGGAGACTTATATACAGATGAATAGCAGAAGTGCCGGGACTTCCCAACTGAACAAAGGCTTCAAATATTATAGTGAAGGGTTCATTTATAATTTGCGAAGTAAGTTTCATTAATCAATTTCCAATGTTGTAAATGGTACAGTAGCGATCGCAATATGGCATTGGCTGTAAATGTCATTATGTCATTGCTGATTTGTGATTGAAGAAGGCTTATTTTCCTCTTGACATGTTATCATATTGACTTCACCCTGAAAATTACGGGACATACGTTAATTATTATGAAGTGCAACTGAAAAGCTGTTTTTGAACTACTTTAACCTAAGTTCCATCATGTCAATAACCTAGGCCGTAACCGTCAGATAGTTATTGGATCTATGTAAAATTCAAATGATGTTATTTCGTGTAACATTTTTCCCTTGTCTTGTATTTTTTTCACCTGTAATCGTTTTTTTGGCAGCATCATGTGATGACACATCTTGCGTAATAACAGCTCGTTGTTACCATTCCATGAAGAAAAATGACTCGCCACACAATATAACTGTAAGTTGGGTTCATAGTATTGTCAAGAAAAAATATTATCAGTCTGATATCAGAATATATTATATATATATATATATAATATAGGAACACATATTTTGTAAAATATCTCATTTATGTTAAATTGTGATAGCCTAGTACATTCATTTCACTCAAGTACATGTACTATGAAATGCAGGGGGTTATAGCTAAAACGGCACCACAGCAGAACGGCACCAAAATCGTTTGGCGAAAACGGCACCGTATTGGCGAAAACGGCTACTTATTTCTGAGCTAAAACGGCACCATATACAAAACACAGTATGATGTTGACTTTTATGTTTTAGTTCGTTTAATTATAACATTAGCAATCAACATATATAAAACACAATATGACGTTGACTTATGTTTTTTATTTCATTTCATAACATTAGCACGATTATAACACGTGATATAGCTGGAATATTGCTAAAAGCGGCGTAAAATCATAACTCACTCACTCACCCACTGCATTAAAATAACAAGATTATAAAGACGATAACAAAAGCACCGTCAACATAACACATGTTCACACGTCAAAGTCCATATTTGGGCGGATGCTTATACAGTGTATATCCCATGAATGTCTTCATGAATTGCAGCAATTCACTACACGATTGGTCCGTGGATAATCGCACATCTTGACAGTAGTTGTGACAGAGACAGGTCACCATCCTTGAATAAACTCCAAAGTTCAAATACTTCCTCCTGCCTAGCTGTTGAGGATTTGCGGATGTCTTCTAAAATAAGATTTTCCCAATAATTAAGATTTTATTTGGTGCCGTTTTCGCCATAAGATTTGTAGCCGTTTTCGCCAAGTCGAGGTTCAGTTATGTCCAAATGGTGCCGTTTTCGCCAGGTTCCGTTTTGCTGTGGTGACGTTTTAGCCTGATCCCAATGCAGGTCACCTTAGAGAGCAGTCCAGTGGTTAAAGTGGTCAGCGCCAGCTGCAGCTGTGCCATAGGTCAGAGCCAGTGTTGTGGTCATGTGACAGGTATGTCATTAGCCTATTTCAATGAATAATAAGTAATGTCTGTATATATTAAACTGAGTATCTGATTTCATTGTTCCTGAAAATATGTTTTTCTTACACAGGTGTTTTATATCTGGTGGCCCACTATAAGCAGAGAGGAATGAAGTCCATCCCATAGGATATTGCCAAGACCTCCATGCCACAGACATGGCACATCCCTCGCCAGGACAAAATATCCGGTATGTCAGTACCGGAGATAAAGGTTTCTGGATACAAGAGTGATGGAGAGGACAGGCCAGTGAAATCAACCCTTTACAACCCCATTAAGTCTACCCTTCCACCATTGGAACCATTTTTTTCATCCCTGAAGTAAAATCATCCTGATCTATCACTATTAACAACAGTTCCACAGACTGATGAGCCAGCACCACCTTTTGTAAGAACTAATTTTGGATTGTTTCCTAAGGGTAGTACCATCAGCCATCAACAGAAATTATCTGGAAATTATCTGATAAACATTGTGGATGGATTTTATCCTGATTTACCCATTAGTGCTGAGCAGACAGGAGAGAACAACTACAGCAGTGTGCTGACAGAGAGTCAGACAACTCTGCTAGACTCCCTCAGCGTCAGTCAGGATGAGGCTGTGGAGATAGAGAAGGCTACCAGACTCCAGGCGCAGGACAAGAAGTGGGTTTGTCTGAGACGTCACAGGGTCACAGCTTCCAAAATTGGAGAAATTTCAAAGCGTAAAAAAGGTAAACAGAAAATAAACCTAATTAACATTAAGTTTTATGTCATTAATTTCATTAAAAGAAAATGTTGCACCCAAATCCATTACTTTAAAAAACATAATAATAAAATTTCAGAACCAGAGAAGTTTGCAGAAAGACTGAGATCTTCTTCCAGGACCGTCCTCACAGAGGCAATGAGAGAGGGCATTGCCAATGAGCCTTTTGCAGTAGAGGCATATGGGAAGGTAAACATTTCAGATTTATTAAATCATATGTGTAAATGGATCAACTGAATAAATGTACATGTGTATATGTAATTAACATTGAATGTTAATATTTGGGATTAAGGAGAGTAATTTCAACATACATAATAAATATAAAGAAGTGTAAACATGTGCCTATATTTAAAATTGTATGTTGATATTTCAGCTAAAGGAGGGCAATGTGAATATATATCCCTGTGGGATTGTAATAAGTCCCAGAGCAGCATGGATGGCTGCTTCTCCAGACCGGAAGGTGCTAGACCCCAGCTCCAACCCTCCTTTTGGTCTACTGGAGGTGAAGTGTCCAGACCTGCGGAATAAGGACCTCTGTGATCTGCAGTACCTCAGCCTGAAGGACAATGGCCAGCTTGCTCTTAAGGCAACATGTAACTACTATCATCAGATCCAGATGCAACTGGCAATGACTGGTTTGAAATGGTGTGATTTCTTTGTCTGGTCTGAAAGGCAACACCATCTCGAGAGAATTGACTTTTGTCCTGAGAGCTGGCAAAGGGTGAAAGACAAGGCAGATAAATTCTTCTTTGATTACCTTCTTTCATAGTTTCTGTACTACTATGTTAGAAGTCATTTCTCTGATTATTTCAATTACCAAAAAAATGAAATCATATCAAGTTTAATGCATTCAGAAAAATACAAGATCAACTTCTTTCATTGTTTAATTGATAAACATATAATGTGAGGTATATATTTCATATATACATCAAACATGTTCTCTGTTCATAACACTTTGTGTATTGTTATTAATCATTCAGAAACAAAACCATGCAATATTGATCTAGTTCACTGCTTATTAGAAATTCTGGCATTGTTTAAAGGGAGATACTCACAATTTCAGCATATCCTAATTCTGAGCATTTTTACTTACTACCTGTGTATATTTCAAAACATTGATATCTATAAAAATGTAAAAGATCTGTGTATTACAAAAATATACAGTCGATGAAATATTACAGATTTAGCTGTAATCACATTTATTTATTTATATTAACAAGTTTGTTTTGAGCATTTGTCATAAAACTTTTGTTACAGTAGCATTTATTCAACAGAATCAATAATGACATCTTTTGACAATCTAACAACTTAAATGTAACTTTGTTACCACAACATAATCTTATCTGTAATACAGACAGACAGACAGTATTCATTCAGTAAAGAGGCCCTCGCCCATAATACAATCAGACTGACATTGTGTTTAGTGGGTGCGTAATACAACTTTGCATCTCTATGTCCTGGAGTTCAGTTTCTGTACATGGTATAAGTATAGGCCAAGACTGTATATGACAGCATCATTTTTGCTTTGCAAAAGATTTACGACAGAGTAATGAGTAAGTGGTTCTTTAGTGAACTTTGTTATATATTTATTTCTAGATATATCATAGGTATTACAAATATATAGTACATGATATTCATTTTCTATATAATGCTGACCTCTGGTTTTACAAAAAGGACATAGCCCTTCGTTATATTCGATTCCATTATACCTGCCACATTCAACATCCGTATTAAATTACTGCATCTAAACCTTGATATAGCAATTCTTATATGCACAGGGATATCACAACACAAATATTTTTTAATATTTAACAAAGTTTTGAACTCCTTGTAAAATATATATTAAGAAGATTCACTAATTGATGAGAACCAAGACTGTTTTAAGTCATCACCTAGCCTTAACTTGAATAGATACACAGAATATTCCACATTTCGAATTTCTTGGCTTAGCCAAGCATAACCAAATCCATATTGAAACAGGATGTGTCTAACTTTGGTTACCCAGGTATTATAGCCTAAGCTATCTGGTGATCTGAACATGTAATACAAATTTGTATTTTGAAGTTTTCAGAAATTTATTTGATTTGAGTTTTTACTATGATCATAGTTTCATAATAGGTCCTGAATCTATTATCTAATCTGATGAAAACTAACAAACACTGTAAATAAATACTCTGTTATACCATTAGTGTCAATATGATGTATATATTATGTTCTCATAAAAATGCAATACAAATTTCATGCTAATCAACATTAAACCTCAATCAGTTTTCTTTCATTTCTTTTTTATCAAAGGTCCTTGAAAACTTGATGTAATGCATGCTACAGTCCACAACTGATTAATGCTGCCCAGTTCAGCAAGAGAGACTGTAGAATCAAACAGGTGATTCTCTTTAACCCTTCTGATCAGTCTTTCTACATGAATCCTAAGGGATGCAATGGACTGTGTCCCCCATACTTCACTAGGTGTGAACTGTCCAGAGGAATACAGAAATGGAGGAATGTTCAGACCAACACCTTTCTCACTCAGTATACTGGCAATAGTAAAACCCTTATCAGCCATAACACTGTCCCCAGGTTCCAGCAAATCTAGAATGCCAGACAGTTTAGTTATTTCAACATCTGACATGACACCTGTGTACAGATTGGATACAAAGGTAATAGCACCATTTGGGGCAATGCCAATCAGACCTTTCAGAGTGCAAGAGCTCTTGTAATGGGAGTAAAACATGGAATTTAACACCAAAGCTGAGGGAATTTGGATCCTGAGCTCAGTACAATCTAAAATGACTCTTGTAGATGGGTAAGTTATCTGAAATTCAGGAGGCATGTGTCTGTCTACTGTCACTCTGGAAGGCCAGATAGGAACTGATCCAAGAACAAAATAGAGAAAATTTGCCCAGGTGATAATTTTTCGACTAACAGTTGAAATATGGCAGTTAAAACGAACAGCAAGATCCTGTTCTGGTAAACCAAGCCTAAGGCGTACAAAAAACATGAACATTTCATCAATAAGGGCCATATTTCTTGGTCTACCTGCAAGGGAAATGGCATTTGAGCATGTATAATACATACTGCACATATTGGAGGCACTTGGTTTTACAAAGTCAAAAAACTGTTTGAACAATTTATAGCTACGAAAAGATGTGTAGTACTGGATCACAGAGCTGTCAACCCCTAAAGATGGTTTGGAGTGAGACTGAAAAATAAGCCGGGGTCCAGGTACAGGGCGATGCCCAGGTGGGGGGTCTCAGGCCGAAAATGAGGTTTAGAGATTTTCAGGCGCATTTGGAGCCTTCTGGTGGCATTATTTGGACACTAAAAGATGCATGCTAAAACATGAAAAAAACATCACATACCTTCATTCTGTGTATTTCTTAGATTGATATACAGCTCACAAGATACCAAGGGTTCAGAGTGGATGTGAACAGTAAAACGCAAAAACGAACGAAAACGCGTATTAATTTTGAAATTCTTTTTGCTACCAGATATGCGTGAGATTATTATTTGGAGGTGTGAGAGCGTGACATTTGCCAGTAAAGCGTGAGACTCACGCCAAATGCGTGTGAGAGTTGACAGGTATGGGATCATATCATCATTTCCAGCAAATCTTTCCAGTCCAAATCTCTCAAGGGTGAGCTGTTCTTTTAACAAATCTTTCTCCTCCTCAAGCTCTTGAATTCTTTTTAGAAGCACCTGTGAATCAAACAGACTGATATCTGTCTGGGTCTGAGCTGACAACTGGTGCTCACCTTCAGCATGAGGGTCACAATCTGACATGGAGTTTGCATTTTCAGAACTGAAAAAATAAAGAATTTACTTTCAGTGGAAATCAAGTGTTTGTATACTTCAACATTTATTCATTTCTAAATATTATGATGAGGTATGAGGGTCATCAGTGATTATGAATCCTTCATCTGAAATTTAATAAGATGGAAATACTTTAAATTAATGGATACCACAAAAAAGAAAGACATCTTTAGTTAAAGAGCATTTGAACTGAAGTAGTGCTTACACATCTACGAATTTGTTTCTAACTCTTAAACTGACCTTTCCCATGAAATAACTTGTTTTGGCATCAGTGGATGACGGATGGCGGGTGCTTTTCTGGACTTCATATTTTCCAAGTTCCAAGGAAATATGGATGGCACAGATCCTTGCTGAGGGTCTTCCTTACCGGTGTGTACTTGTAGTCCTCAGGCCGGAAATGCTTTGAGCAAACAACACTCTTCCTGGTGATCTAAATTTAAGTGAAATTAAAATAAGTCTTCTGTCATTATAGATTTTGAGCTCCAAGATTTAAAAAATATCTCTTTTTTTTAATAGTTACAATAAATAGTTGTGTATACAAGTGATTCTATAATAATTCTTCCTGGGTCCATCTGCCATTGTTTCAAATAGGACCACGAAAGGCTAATGTATGCAATCGTCCTGGTAATTTAGTAACACGAATGTATAGTTGAAAACAAATATGACATGCAAAATGCTATCATGTAGTTGTTTGAGACAAAATATCTTTTTGTCTTATAATCTGTTTGACAACTGCAGCTCCGATAATATATTCGTTGCTCTTTGGACTACTCAAAATTCTCAAGATTTAATTTCGAAAATACTGAATGAAAATTTTAACCTACCGTAAAGAAGGGTCCTTCGTCCCGACGAATGGCAATTATCCATCTCCTTCGCTCATCTTCAGCCTTCGGAAATGTGTGAAACGAAAGTGAATTGTTGTATCTCGCATCAGATGTACACTGAGGTACAGAGCAGTGATCAGCTGCCATATTTGCGGGTATAACCTCGTTTTGGAATCGATCAAAGGTCACATGCATAAATATTAAGAATCCGCTATGACAGTGGTCGAAGGTCGACGGCAACCTGACGTGCATCCCCAACAACATGGAAAAATACATCTTGTTCTCCTTAGACGGTCTGAAATTCATCGACTCAGTTCAGTTCCTGCTGTCATCTCTGGATAGCCTGGTGAACGCCAACGACCCAAACGACTTCGACATCACCAATCGATACACCGACGCTGAGACTCGACCTCTGCTGCTCCGGAAGGGCGTCTACCCCTACGAATACATGAACGATTGGTCCAGGTTCGACGGGACGCGATTACCTCCCATCGACCGATTTCACAGCAACTTGACCGACTCGGCCATCTCCCCTGACGATTACGCGCACGCCCTCAACGTGTGGCACAAACTGGACTGCAAGACTCTGGGCGACTACCACGACCTGTAGCTGAAAACCAACGTGTTGCTACTGGCCGACGTGTTCGAGATATTCAGGAAAACGTGCGCGAAACAGTACGGCCTGGACCCCGCGTGGTACTTCTCATCCCCTGGTCTCTCTTGGGATGCCTTGTTGAAAAAGACGAAAATTGAATTGGAAATGTTAACGGATTACAACATGCACCTGTTCGTGGAGAAAGGCTTTCGAGGCGGGTTTGCCATGGCATCCAAACGATACGCCAAAGCCAACAACCAATACGGTCCCGGTCACGTTTTCGAGCAAACCGACCAACCACATCCTCTATCTCGACGCCAACAACCTGTACCGCTGGGCCATGAGCCAATATCTCCCCACCGGGAAATTCGAATGGGTCGTCTGCCCGTCCGACATCGACGTGAATAGCATCCACGAAGACTCTGAGATAGGATACATATACGAAGTGGACTTGGAGTACACCGCGGAACTGCAGGAATCGCACAAGAGCTATCCGCTGGCTCACGAACGATTGACGGTGAACCTGGAGTGGTTGTCCGACTACCAACGAAGCTTGCTCAGAGGCAACAAGCTGGCCAACGTCGAAAAACTCGTGCCGAATTTGATGAACAAGTCAAAATACGTCATCAACTACCGCAACCTGCAGCTGTACCTGTCGCTGGGAGTGAAGCTGGAAAAAACACATCGCGTGATCGGATTCCATCAAAGCCCGTGGATGGAACCTTACATTCGGTTGAACACGCAGCTGCGAAAACAAGCCACGAGCAACTTCAAGAAAAACCTGTACAAGCTCATGAACAACTCGGTGTTCGGCAAAACGATGGAGAACTTGAGAAAACAAGTCAACGTGAAGCTGGTCAGATCCAGCGAAGAAGAAAAGCGAATCGGTGGATTTCATCACACAAGATGATAAATGCCGAGAAATACCGGAGATACTTCTTGAACAATTACATAAACTCGTTCGATGCAAGCCAGCCATCTTCGATGCATCCAGGAAGGACCGACCACAATGATGTTACGAAATAAGCAATATTTGGAACGCAATTACAAGGAAACTTCAGGAAAACGATGACCAAGAAAGGACTGGTATTTTGAATATATATATACTGAGTCAAAAAAGAAACTTCACAAAATGTAATTTGAAAAATAATGAATAATTCTTCTCTGATGATACATCTATGTATCCGAAATGGGATCCCAATCTTTCGACTCTAGAAAAACGTTAGCAAAACCCACTCAAACCCATCCATTCGTCGTGCAAATGACGTTAGTGCCAAATCAGGTTTTGCACGTGCAGTCGATCACGTGATCTTCGCATCGAAGTTTTCTTCATATGCATGTGTTTGAATTGGCCTCAAGAATTGAAAAAACACTTTTAAACCACAGTTCTAACGGTACTTGAAATGCCACGATAGTCAAATGTACAACGTGAACGTGCCGTTGACATGTTGCAAGCGGGAAGATCAGTTATTGACGTCGCAAGAGCAATGGGATGCAGCCGTCGTACTGTGTATGACTTGCGAGGTCGTCTACAACAAATTGGCACCACTTCTGATCGCCCAAGGTCGGGTCGTCTACGTGTGACGTCACGAGCAGAAGACCGTCAAATCGTCCTACGTCACCTACGTGACAGATTTCTGCCGGCTACACGAACCAGGGCTGAGATGTTTAGAGGTCGACTGTCCTCACAGACCATTCGAAATCGGTTGCGGGCTGCCAATCTCCATTCTCGACGTCCATATCGTGGGCCAATATTGACGCCGTTTCATCAACGTCAACGTCTGCTGTGGGCCCAACGTCACCTCCGATGGACCCAGAGAGACTGGAATCGAGTCGTCTTTAGCGATGAATCAAGGTTTACACTCAGATTCGCGGACGGCAGGCATAGCGTCTAGAGACGACGTCGTGAACGGTATGCCCAATGTTGTGTACAGGAAGTCGACAGATTCGGGGGCGGAAGTTGCATGGTGTGGGTCGCTTTCTGTGGGAACAACCGTTCCCGACTTCTGGTCATCCGTGGAAACCTCACAGCTGCTGCTTACCGCGACCAGGCGCTCACCCCTTAACTCGTTCCTTTCATGGCGGCTCATGGCCCAGGTCTACAGTTCCAGCATGATAATGCTCGGCCGCATACCGCGATGTTGACACGCGATTTCCTTCAAAACGCTGGAATCAACGTCATGGACTGGCCATCGAGGTCCCCTGACCTTAATTCAATAGAGCACGTTTGGGATGCACTTGGGAGAAGGCTTCGTGGTCTTAGGAACCAACCTCAGAATTTGCAGGAACTTGGCGCTGCCTTGCAAGAGCAATGGCTCAGAATCCCCAACCACGTGTTCACAAGCATCAGGCAGTCGATGAGGAGACGGTGTTTGGCAGTGGTGAATGCGCGGGGCGGCCATACACGATATTGAACTGAAAAATTCCGCATTTTTATTCATGTGACTTGACATTCTGTATACCCATGTTTTGGAACGGCGGTGTAGACTAATGGAACCGATTATGGCACTGTCAGTGTATCGAGTACATCACACAGATCTCAGCAATGAAATAATAACAATTCAACCATCTTACCATCTCTTGTTCTTTTATAGTACCCTGAAGAAAGAATGTGAAGTTTCTTTTTTGACTCAGTATACAGTATATATCTTCATATCATGTTAAGTTCTTTGAGAAACAAGGTGGCATTGTACGCAATAATTGTGATCCATAAGATCTCCAGAAAAAGAAAAACTTGATTTAACGCATCACATAGCCTTTACACACGTACACATGTAATTGGACACTACGCACACGTAATACGCACATGCATCACGCAATTACGCACACAATACGTACACATGGAAACCTAGCTTAGCGTCGATCCGTGAAGATCCGGGTTAGAACTACTGGTCTTCAGTAACCTATGCTTGTCGTCAGAGGCGACTCACGGGATTAAGTGAGTGAGTGAGTTAAAATTTAAAGTCACATCGGCAGTATTTTAGCCATTTCAGACTAAGAAAGTTGTAATTTTTTAAATGAATAAACACAAATTTAGATAATCAACTACTTACCTGTCTGCAAAGGGCTCACGGATTGGGTGATCAGGCTCGCTGACTTGGTTGATACATGTCATTTGTATCTGCGTTGATTGATGCTCATGTTGCCAATTTCGGGATTATCTGAACCAGACACGATTATTTACAGACTTACGTCATATAGATGGAAAATTGCTGAAAGCGGCGTTAAACAAAAACAGACTGAGTAAGGAATCACATATTAACACATGCAGGTGACAGAATCACAAGTTCTCTTTTACCCCCACCCAGATCATGAAAGTGAGTGAAGCGTCCCATAATCCTAGTAATCCCACGGAGCACTGGACGAGTTGTGCCCCTTTACGGGGGGTGTTGTATACCCCTTTACGTTTGCCTCCACACGTTTTTGTCTCGTTCTTCGGGGCACAGGGGCGTGTCACGCTTAGAAACAGCGTTAGAAAGACATATAGGTATATAGACCCTACCCTATATAAAAGCATCCTTTTATATAGGTATATAGACTCCACCCTAGTACTATATAAAAGGATCCTTTTATATAGTACTAGGGTAGGGTCTATATACCAATATGTCTTTCTAACGCCGTTTCTAAGCGTAACACGCTCCTTTTATATAGTACTAGGGTAGGGTTTATATACCTATATGTCTTTCTAACGCTGTTTCTAAGCGTGACACGACCCTGTGGTTCGGGGTATGTCGAACGACACTGCAATTTTGCATGAGTGAGTATTTCGCCGCTTTTAACAATATTCCAGCAATATCACGGCGGGGGACACCGGAAATGGGCTTCACACATTATACCCATGTGGGGAATCGAACCCGGGTCTTCGGCGTGACGAGCGAACGCTTTAACCACTAGGCTACCCCACCTTCCCGAACTTTTGCATGAAAAAAAGATAAGATAAGATAACACTTTATTACCCAAAGGGGAATTCTTTTTATACTGAAAGCCATTAAAAACGCAATTGGTATTTGTTGTCCTGAAACTTACAAAAGTTCTATTGAAGATTTTTTTCCTGCGATACAGAGGATGTAGGGATAAAAGGCTGTTATTCTGGCCCATTTCGAGTTCGAGTCCCGGAGCATTCCCCTCACATGAACTTTGATACTTAAAACTGAACCTTTGACATTTCTCGTAAACACAACCACATTCATGAAACACGTTGTGCACATGCATTACTTGCACCCAGGCCCTGTAAAAGCACAAGAAATTGTGGAACTCAATCACTTTCAGAAAATGCCACACTTGACACAAGACGAAAGGAATCAGGTTATCGGTATGGTCAGCCAAGGTGCTTCAGATGTGATGATTGCCAGGCACTTTAATGTGCATCCATCCACTGTAAGTCGACTCAGACAACGTTTTCGGGCTACCGGAAGTGTTGCTGATCGTCCGCGACCTGGTGCACCACCTGTGATAACAGCTCGACAAAACCGCAATATTCGAGTTTCACACTTGCGAAATCGGTTCCAAACAGCTGATGATTAGGCAAGGAGGACAACTGGGGCAAGTCAATGTCATTTCAGCGCCCAAAAGGTGCAAGGACGCCTTGCTGCCGTCAACATCCGGTGTCGTCACCCGTACCGTGGTCCAACCTTATTGCATCGCCACAGACTTCCCAGACAGCGATGGGCAGCAAATGGGGCCAATCTTGTCAACAGGACATGACCAGATGTCATTTTTTTCAGATGAATCCAGGTTTAACTTATCCTTTGCAGATGGACGTCAACTGATTTATCGACGTAAAGGAGAAAGACTTGCGCCAAACTGTGTCCTTGAACATGATCGTTTTGGAGGGGTGGTGTCATGCTCAGACCACAGACCATCAGAGGCTGCAGACCATCCAAAAGCTGTTCCTGAGAAATGTGTGTCTTTCAATGCCCCAAAGACTGCGAGCATGTCTTGGAGCTCACGGTGGACACACACGATATTGACTGCAAGTGACCCCTCATTGTGTGAAGTCGTTGTTGCGTCACTGATGTTGTTGTTGACTGGACATTTTCAGATGAAATTATTCACAGATGTTCACTTAAAACATATCTGCCAGTTAGGTTTATATATGTTGAAATTTGTGTGAGTAAAGAAAGTATGAATGTCAAATTGCATTTTTAATGGCTTTCAGAATACTTCAAACAGAGCATGACATGATACAATAAAATATGTATGGCAATTACGATAATAGATGATTAATTATGGATAAATATATACTTAATGCATCCATTCACACGCATAATACACACCAACACACATAATTAAACAAGTCATGTGTGTACACTTTTCTGTATTCCTATAATTTACATACACTAACTCAATGAAAGTATAAAAACATTTCATGCATTATTTTTTAAAGGTTTTGCTTAGAATTGTAATGCTAAAACGGATAAAAGAGTTCCTTGTTCTGTTTGACCTATGACCTATGCCAGATGGCAATGTGAATATTAAGAGTTTAATACATGTGATGAATCTGAAATGATTTTCCGAGCATGTGATACAATTTTGTCATCATTTATGGACGCAGGATGGTCTAAAAGTGTACCGGTAATTTTTGAACTTATATTCACAATCTTGATAAGTTTGTTTTTGTTTTGAAGACTAAGAGAACCGTACGAACACTGCGCTTTGTACGAAGTACGTGTGGATAAGTTTCAACAATTTCACATCAACATCAAAAGAGCCTAATGTCCTCATAAAATATAGTCTTTGTTGGCACTCCAAATCTTTAATATTGCTATTCCAATTCAGTTTATCACCACAATAGTACCAAGATACTCCTGTTGAAATTGTGTCTGAGTATAAGTATCACTCATATGAACAGGTTCTTGAGGCTTTTCCCTCTTTCTAAAATCAAATATCATTTCTTTTGTTTTCTTAACATTTAATTGAAGAAAGTTTGTTCTGCCACCAATCTGTAAGATTACAGATTTCTGATCGATAGCCATCTTCGTGAGAAACATTCTATAAAGCAATGAGTGCAGCGTTGTCCGCAAATTTTACAGGATGGAACTTTTGCAAACCCAATCATTTGTATATGTAATGAATAATGACGGTGGCAGAACGCATCCTTGTGGAACGCAAGTATTGATAGTAACAGTTGCAGATTGACAATTACTGACACGAACAAACTGCCCTGTTAGTTAGAAAATCACTTATCAATGTTATGTGGATGAGTATACGGGCAAGGAGATGAGGCTGGATTGTGATAAACGCAGAAGAGAAATCAACGAATAAGATACGGGCATAGGATTCCAGATGATTGTATAATTTGTTTAACATCGATAGAATAGCATCTCCCACCCCATGCTTTGCACGGTAGGAACACTGTAATGGATCCAAAATATGATTTATATCTTGCAAGAGAAAGGGAAGCACTCATCTCTCAAAACATTTCATGGCCACCGACGTTAGGGAGACGGGTCTATTATCATTTAGTTCATTAGGTCTAGATCGTTTCGGGACTGGTATCTCTGTGGATTCTTTCCAAACCGTTGGTAACTTATGAGCATCAAGAGAGGCCTGGTAAACCTTACAAAAAATGGGGAGAGTGGTTCAGCAAATGACTTTAGAACTATTCCTTTAAAATTATCTGGTCCAGAAGCTTTCCGAATATTTATTTTTGCAAAACATGATTTCACACCGTCTACACTAATTTTGAGGTCATTTGTGGTATTACTGATGATTGAAGAATTAAGTTCATTTTGTGGATCCTGGGGAAAATCTCAATGATCAAATCTCGAATAAAATGAATTAAGGTCTTCATCAAAGGATTTGTGGTCAGATGTAAAAAAATATTCTTTCTTTTTATCACTTCCAATCATCGCCTTTAAGCTTTTCCACATTTTCCGAGAATCACAGCAATTAAACCCCTTGTCTACTTTACGTTTGAAACCTTCTTCACATTCCTTAATTTGTAACGAAATATATTTTTGGATATTCTTTACTTCTGAAAGATTCCCCTTACAATATGCTATTTTCTTCTTGTTTAAAAGGCTTTTCATATCTATTATTACCCACGGTTTATAGTTGGGAAAAAATCTTAATTGCTTCAGATGGTATTATAGAACCTACACAAAAATCGATATACCGTATACCGGGAAATTTTCGAGGTGTCTAATTTTCGAGGTTTTCGAGGTTAGAAACGCAACCTCGAAAATATTATTTCCATGAATTTTTCCGAACTTCAGACCTTTGGGTTAGATTTCCTATCGATAAGCATTTCAACTGCTCCCAACCAATGACTTCCTGACATGCACAGTAACCGTGTAATGCCTGTCTACAAGTAATCTTAATCTTAACGTTCAGTGACTATTTAATTGTGTTGTACTTGTTGGTCCAGAATAACATGCATTACAAAAAATAGGTAATTCAATCAGTGTCTTCCGTGTGAAGTCAAACCAACTGTCAATACACTCCATGTCACTCTCTGGCCAAACGGACTGCATGGGCGATGCCAGGTTTGATGAATGCGCGTCTTTAAAGGGCTTGTTTACACAAACATCCTGGGGCTGTAAGGCATTCGTGCAGTTGGGCAGTTTCGCTAAAGAGGTCAACTTGTCAGCTTTCTAACAACAACATAGTTTCAGCAGAGACCTATCATACATGCTTATAATTAGTTGTTAAAAAAACAATATCGTCTGAGAAAAAATGGCGTCATGTTTGAACTCTGCCGACAGAGTGTTTCATGGGTCATTTATCACAACAAAGGATCAAAGGGTTGTTTTTTATTACTATTATCTCTGCCATGGACTGGTATACCGGTAGTTATAACAGTCAGACGGCAGTTATCACTGGCTACTAGGAGTTTTGCCGATAACTCAGTGAGTATTGGTCCGGTAAGTCATGTTTCTGGACACTTTCTTCTTACCTCGAAATTAAAATTGTCTAAAATATTTATATATTTAGGCCCCCCAAACCTCGAAATTTATATCACCTCGAAAGCTCTACCTTGTAATTTTAGTACCTTGAAAATTTCCCGGTATACGGTAGGTAGTAATCGTGTCGATCAGCTGATTACGGGGGCCTGAATGAGATTGAAAACAGGTCGAAGTTCGACGTGCGTGGTTTCTCTTACAACATACCGTTACACCAGTTTGTATTTATAAAGATACACAACCCACATCCATGACTTGTACCCGAGGCATCGGGATTTCTATCCAATCGAATAGGTTCACTGAATCCAGGTTGGGACAATGATGTAATGTTGTCATTCAGCCAGGTTTCAGAAAAACACAACACACAGGTCTCCCTGTTTTCGTATAGATACAAAACACTTGCCTGTATCTCTGGAAGCTTGTTTCTCAGCGATTTCACATTCGAGAGCAGTAGAGTTGGAAGCTGTTGTCGAAATTTCCGGGATCTCACTCGGCACCGAACTCCTTTCCTCCGCCGGTGTTTTTGGGCTTTGTCATCGTTGATGGAAAGGAATCTTCAGTGAGATATGAAGTTTTGAATTTGCAAAGTTATGGACTTGGTTTCATATTTTGCCCCACAATCACAATCACGTTGTGGCAGTGTGAGGCATCGCATTGTTGTCCTGTAAAATGACTCCTCTGACTGACAAAAGGTCTCAACACTCCACCCCTGTATCGCTATGGCAGTCAGATTTCCTCGGTTGATGACCAGTTTTGTTGTTCTCCGGCCACATATGTTGCCCCATACCATGACGCCTTCTCCATCGAACGGATGAACTCCTTGAACGCAGTTTGGTAACAGTGTCTGTATTCTTTGTCTGTCCAACATCGGTATTTATGCCACAATCATGCACGTGCATTTGGACCAATGCCCCACATTTACGTTGTTCACGTTTTGAAACATGCCCGATTCGTACTTTTTCAGACAGCTGCGTTATCGGGACCATGTTGCATTTTTGGCAAATGTTTTCTGCTTGGGTTCAAATCTTTACCAGCATTTTTTGTTTGTATACAATGACGTTTAAAACGATAACTTTTGGTTTTTGACTGGTAGTTTAGATGCAGAAAGTCCACGATTCAGTTAACTCCTAAATTGTAGCATTTGATGTGAAGATACGAGCATTTGTGATGTGTAGGACGCCATGCGGGTTGCAACCAGTGGAGCCATGTGTTCTGGTTGATGGAGCGTGAGCATCTTCATTGTGCCATTCTTGTTTTAGACATGACACGTTTGATTTCTTTTACAATGTGGGCAACTGCTCCACAGGCTTTGATACGATCATCTGCAAAAATAGGTAGTTCCTTGTCTTCATTGACTGCCTGGGCTATGGTGTAATGTCATGGTATCTCGTCAGATTTTACAGTGGAATCTATATTTGTTGCACGTATAGGTTCGTCCCAGTCCAGGTTCATCTGTTAAAGGTCCAACGTAAATATCTTTGACAGGCGATAAACAAACCAAGATTATCAAATACTTCAAATATGTCTTGTCAGTATTATGCTTAATGATAAGAGGGTGGTGTGGAGGAAATGTCGGTTTGTGATTGAACTTGTGGTTGTGTATTGAGGGATTCCATGAAAGCCGATATCTGGAACAATGTCCATGTTGTGTTGTGTTGGGTTTTGTTGTGAATGAATGGAAAGCTAGTAACATCAAATAGTACTCCTTTAAACGATACACTGTAAAGTTACTTTCTTGATCATTCTCTGTGCAAAATCCTTAATCCAACAATCAATGATATTGTGACCTGTACGTCATCTGTAACTGGATGGGATAGTTTCATTCCTTGCAGAAACGGAATTGGTCGTACTACCAAACGAAGACACAAGAAGAACATACACTGGAATATTTTCATCATTTTCTGTCTCTCCATGACCAATGTCAACATCCAGGTTTCTGATTTGGCGACAAATGAGAATAGTTCTCTGCAGAAACTGACTAGAGTTCCAGTTCATCTGCTAGATGGCGTGTAATGAAAAATCTCTGTCCACCTACATCAAATAATATGTTGGCATCAAATATGTTCCACTGTTTGTATGCGCACGGGCTAGATTTCCACTCAGATCTGATGGCAAACTTCAGAAGAGTAACTTCATGTTTAGAAATCTGTCTACAGTTCGTGGAAATTTGTGTATAGATCGGATGGCAAAACCATGTAATTGGGATAATGTGAATGAGACAACTGGATTTCTGCACTCCATTTAACGTTGGATTTGTATGCACAGTGGTTTTAAAGTAATCTCAGAAATTTTGCCATTTTAGAGGAAAGTGGGTAGTTTCGGTTTTGGAAACTGTTTTACCTTCTGTGTTGCAGAAGTGGCTGATTGGCATGTTTCGTCATTGTATTCATAAGCAGATGTGGTGGTTAATGTGATGATCAGTGTGACGTAGTAGTCACAGATTCATAACACTTCTACCCATTCATACATAATGACATCTAAAACCCAGTTGTCGTATGTGATGTGATTTCTCTTCTCTGGCAGCAGTTTGATGCATATGAATTGTTTTGATTGATATTGTCAGGGATGACAATCACCCTCTCACTCCTCTGTATTCATGATCACAGCTACACTAGTCTAAAGGACAAGATTTGTCTTGTGGAGTGGTAAGTTGTTTTCATCCACTTGGAGACTTGGAGCCATGTGTACCTCTCTGCTTACCCTGGCTTACTACTCCCTCCCTGTATAGTCTTGCTGAGCTTGTCGTTATACACACTGTGATATGGTGAGCCACAATCACATTGTGATATTGGCCAGATACAGAGAATCCCTGCACCAACAGAAGAACAACCTATTCTGTGAGAAACATCGGTTGATATAAGCACCAATGTCAATCACATGTCTATCGTCTTTGATCTGCTGAAAAACTTAGGGTAATGTATGAATTCCCAACCAATTTATAGCACTTCTCATAAATCGTTGGGGAGTCACATAGTGGGAGGTCATGTGGGCAGACTACGCTTCAATGGGGAAAGTATTCTGTCTTCACATTCTAATTTCTTCAAATTCTCAATTACTGGGTGAAAATGTTGTGACAAATAATTGGAACAGGGAAGCATAATACACGTACGTGCTGATACTGAAGCAGCATGGCATCCAGAATATTCTGGTATTTCAGATGAAATCCCTTCCTCCACATGAAGTCTCAGGCCTGCATTGAGGTGATGCTTTTCTTCCAATAGGACGGAAAAGGAGTGACCAGGATCATAAGAAATTGGAGGTGAACAATCCGAGTCCTCACTAAAGACTAAGTGCAGAATCTATCAGTCAAGAAATGCCCAGCTCGAGAATGGTAACCATGGTAGGAACAAACATACAACATATCATCAAAATACTGGTCCATGTGACACTTGCTCTCTAACGAGGACCAACTCTCTGGTACGATTTCCCATGGACAATGCAACAAAGACTACTGACACATGGATGAGGTGGTTGACTAGCTGACACAAACACAGCATCTGCGCTGGAAGCCTTAGCTGATACCGTGCAAATCACACATCTCTATCGGTAAAGAGTCCAGCTTGTGTGACAGTATCCTTGGTATTCGTTGCTGCATACTTTGGTTTGAGGGATGCTTCTGGGTCTGTGCTTTTCCCAACACCTGTTATCAAATATTGGATATCGTCACCATGTCCTTCTTTGACTTTATTAACATTTGTTCAAAATGATCACAAGGGATAAATATTTCAAATAAATAACTATTGAAGGATCTTTTTAATCAGGTCAATTCTCATTTAGTAATTTTTTTTAAAGAAATCGATTTGATTGATAAATTGTGAGTCACATGTTTTGTAGATAGAAGTATTTTTAGTATTGATGATTCAAATTAGAAACTGAGATCGTTAATGGCCGTATCGTCAAGGGGGTTAAAGTATCGTAAAACCATTGTCCTCCTGAGAGGGTAAATTTAGTTGTGCCAAACTTTTAATCGTAGAATATTTGTTATTTTAAATAATGGCTAAACTCAGTAACATCGCCAGCAGCAGAAGGGATGGTGTAAATCCAGCTCGGGTCCATGCAGGTAGCAAAAGCACTGTAAGTCCCTATGGTCCCTAGTATGGTGATCTACCTTCAGTTGTTGGCAATCTATTGCCTACTTTTATATTGTTCTGTCCTCTACAGTTATAATGTTTCAGATTTGATTACTAGTTTTACGTTTATATCTGTGATATTCTAGTTGTTTTACTGATTTTCTTTATAAACTACTTTTAAATTATTATTCAACTATAACTTGATTTAGTCACGATATGGCTGAAATATTGTCAAAGTGACTCTTAATTTTAACTCACTCAAAACGATCACGGAAAATAGTGCTTGCCTTGGGGCGACTCTTTGGAGTAGAGGTGAGAAAATGAAAGGTAGAGGTGTGATGAAATAGACGGATCATAAGGTACAACAAATTTCTTTGTAGGTTCTATGCTTAGCTACAATGCAGGGGTTTGCCTTTAACAGATTAGCCCTCCTCACACCTATTACCCCACCGTACATGCCAGTTCTCTGCATCTCCAACATTCTAAATACGAGCCCTCACAAACGGCACAATATTTCACGAAAAGAAGAAGATGACAGGGACACCATTTTATCTCACAACATGTCTCTTGTAAGACCTATGTGATTATTCCTACAACATTGACGGAACATCCTAGTGGAGCACTATTTGATATACTCAGAGGCCAAAGTTATTGTGACACACAAACAACGAAGAGAAACAGTGTTAAACTTTTACCGAATAAAATATCATTACATGGAAAGACAAAAGTTTCAAGGTTATGGTAACGATCAACAGTCCATAAGAACAGCTCACCTGCAAATGCAAATGAGTCACAACACAAGCGATTAACATGCAAGTGTGTTCACCTTGTGGATTATGCAGGCCTATCACATTCGCCTCAAATGTTGAGGCCACTAAACGTTGATGAAAGTCCTTGGGAAGATCATTTGATATCTGGAGAAGGATTTGCCTCTGCAGCGTTATTGGACGACATCGTAAACATAGCTCCAGTTCATCCCAGGTGTGTTAAAATGGGTGACAAATCCGGAGATCTTGCTAGCCAGTGTAGCACATTAACATTGTTCTGATTAGGGTACCGCTTTTCAACTCGAAAAACATGTGTGGCATGGGATTATAGGATTGAAACATAA